TCCCTTCAAAATAACTACGAAAATGTTGATAATTTAGAATTTCTTTTTATAAAAGTTTAAACAACATACTTAGTTAATTGCAATATTAATTTATTAAAAAATGATATTTAATCATTCCTATAATGTTCCATTACAAAAAATTACAAAAAATGTTATTTTGCAAAAAAAAGGTTTTGTTAATGTTTAAACAAATTACTGGATTAATTATTAATTATTTAATTAATTATTTATTAACAAAATGCATATTTGTGATGTACGCAAGAAGGTACCCCAAATAACAAAAAACACAAAATCGGCCAACAAGTTCCAGAGATATAACTTGCTCTATCAATTTGCTCGTGGATTTGTAGGTTCCCCCTCCACTGACTCACAGTCATCTTGTATCGAAGTTATTATTTGGAGCATTCTCAGAAATGCTGTCGTCCTCAAAAATTTCACATAGAAACTTTAGCTCTTTATCTTCGATATGGCACTTATTAGAAGTCTTCATTGTTATAAACAAAGTAGCTGTGATTTTTTTAAAAAAGTAACTTTTAATTAAGTTAGAGCAACTTTTTTTTCTAATTTGTGTAAAAATTCCAGTTTTACGAATGTGGAAAAATAATCTCTCTAAATATACTGGCAACAAATTTATTCTAATTGTTTATAAGACAAAAATGAAAAAACAAAAACTTTAGCTCTCGTAATCCTGCTCTTAACATTGAGTATTTTATTTTACTTGAAAAGTATATTTTTTAATTTTTTTTTGAAGTATCTGCTTAAAATCCATTAAAGTGAGACAACTAAAGACCATAATACAATTTCAAGTTAATCGCTAAGCATTTCAACACATCCTAAACAAAACTATGTTGATCAATTTTAGAACGCATCCATTGGTTTCTAAATTTTTTGTCGCGGTACATTGGCAGCGCGGGGTGAGCATTGACGGTCGGGGAATTCCGTCATTTTGTTAACCAAGAAAGTACTTTTTTCGTGGCGCTGCCGCTGGGGCGAGCTAGCAAGACTATGTTAGGGGAATCCCGGATTTGCTATTTTTTTATTTACGGAGGGCTCTACTGACTGCGCATTCTTTATGTGATTGTTTTGACAATTGGTCATTTGTTTCTTATCATATGATATTTCGTATTTGTTGTTTTATTGAACCTGCAAATGGTGGCAAAGTAAAGTTGATTGTTTAGCGGGCGTGTCGGACTCGTGCGTTTCACACAAAAATTGGGCCGCGCCCCTCGCAGAGCCTGAGGAAAAAAACGGGAAATCGGCTCTTTTTCGGGGCGAGTGTGCGACGCAGACGGAGCTATCGGATTTTAATATACATATATGGATCTAATGGATCTAATCTATCTATCTATTAAAGAAAGCTCTAGAATTTGTTGATATATATAAAAAAGACATCTGAATCATTTACCAGGGAAATTCTCAGTATTCGATCCACTTTCAGAGACGAAATAGAAAAGTCTTGGTGTATTAGAGACCTTGGTGATTTATTAATAAGTAATAAAGAATCATTTTATGTCCTGCAGCTTTCCTGAAGTATGCACTGCATTAATGTTATTTATTAAAATTCCTGTGACTACAGCTAGTGCTGAACGATCATTTTCAAAACTAAAATGAATAAAAACCTATTTAAGAAACTCTATGGGACAAGACAAGTTAAGTAACTTGGCTATTCTGTCTATTGAAAATCCTATGGCCCGGTCTTTAAACTTTGATGATGTTACTTTTGCGGAACAGAAAGCTCGAGGAAAAGATTTTTCTTAATAAATATCTTATTGAAATTAAATTGTTATTTCATTGTAAATGTACAAACCAATGCTCTTGAAAATAAAATTGTTATTAGTGTTGGATAACTACTTAAGTGGTTTATTAAAATTAAACTAAGTACAACGTGACGATTTTTACTGATAGGGCCCATAAAAAGAATTTGCCACAGGACCCAGATGGTATAGTTACGCCACTGGAAGGGTATGCAGAATAATAATATAAACAAAGTAACTCGAAAGTAGTGAAGTGACCCTAAGTTGGAATATTGCAAATACATAAGTGGCAAATTTACGTGTTTTTTCACATTTTTTACTGCCTACGAAGATCTAGACGGCCTAAATAAAAGTTTAATCTTTTCTTTGTCTTCCCCCGGTCCGATAATACGTCTAATAATTAATTAACAATAATTAACGTTATATAAAAAAACTGTCTTGAGAACAAAGAGTACGCCTCTTTTTGATTTATCTTTTTCTTTAAATTACCGTAAAATAAGCTCTATTTAATGCAAAAAGAGTGAATTCCCGAGAGGCTTTTGCCTGACCCTCGGACAATTTGTTATTGTTGTTGGTTTGCACGTCCCACTTTCTTAGTTGTGAAGGGGTAGGTACCTAATTTCAACTTTTTTAAATTTTTCTTTTTCAATACTTTTCATTGGATCAATTAGAACCTATATCTACGATATTAACTTCTGAAATTAACGTTTATTAATTAAACAATTAGTTACAAAAAATCCAATGAAATTAATTAACAAACACCTACCTGGAGCAACAATTTCACGGTCAATCGAATCGGCCTTTGGCACAGATGTTGGTTAACATCCATCGCTTTTTGCAATAATAATGCGCAATGTTCGAAAACTGATATTTCCGCATTCGACTTTCATTTTACAGTTAACAAATTGGTGAAATATGACGTTAGAGAGACTTTAAATTTTAGGTAATTTAATTGACTACAACATAAAACAACTAATTTTCCAATGGGTCATCAAGATCTTCCTGGGCAGTAAAAAAAGTGAAAAAACACGTAAATTTGGCACTTATTTGTAATTTGCCAACTTAGCGTCACTTCTTCCGAGTTACTTTTATTCTATATACACTTCCCCCGTCATAAAGCGCAGTAAAATGTCTACTAGTAATTTTTTCACGTTCAAACTCTAATTCGACTGAAGTATGTGCGAATAAAAAAATAACAGAACTAAAGATTTCCATAATTTTATTTTTTTATATAACAAAAACAATTATTTAAAATATAAGCAATATTATATATAATATAGATAATATATATGTATGTCTTCATGTAATAAAACATTTATTCATTAGTGTTAAAAAATTTTTGTGAATAAAGGAACAAAACCACTTTTAACAACAAATTACACACTCATTTTATAAATGCTATTACAATTTTTTTCCTTATTAATAGGGTACTTAGAAAATTAAAATAAAAAAATACATATAACTTCAGATAACAGTTATTGCTTATTATTTCAAAAATTAAATAGGTATAGAGAGGATAAATTATCTTAAACATCCTGTATATTGAATGTGAACGAATTATTGTTAACAGATACATACTGAACAAATAATTTCCATATTGTGAAATGGCATCTTTAACACTGGCATAAAAAAACTATTTCAACAGTACTTGCAGAAAAATTAAACTTTATTTTAAACAATATTTATGTGCACTGTAATTACAATTTATATATTTTTCAATATGACTGGAATGATAAAATACTACGCATTTTTATACTTTGTACATTTTAAAAATAAAAACTTTATTTCTTTAAAGATAATTTATGCCTTAAAACTTGAATTTCATCACACTGATTAGCAATTTTTTCGTTTTGCGCAGCCAGATGCTCAGTCATGGCATCCAGCTGGCTTTTATAATTTTTATTTGTTGTAATTAATTCCTCGTAGCTTACCTCTATGTTTTCTTTTAATTTACAGTGTTCCGACGTGACATGCTCTAATCTAGTTTTTAAACAAATATTATCTGCCCACAATGTTTTTATTTCGGATTCTAACAGAATATTTTTCTCTAAAATTTTACTTAATTGCAGTTCGTAATAATTGGTTAGTTTATCACTAGAATCTGGCTTAGATCTTAAAAAGTCACATTCCGTTTTCCACCTCTCGGCTTCGTTTTTCCAAAAGTCAGCCTGCGATAAAAATTATTTAATAAAAAGATGTTATTGGGACAATGGGACAGAAATTAATTTGTTAATGGGAAGGGCGTAAATTGCTGACAATATACAATATGTACAGTTTTACTCACATTCGTCTCATCGCTTTTCCCACAGGCTTTTGTACTTGTGTTACTAGTCAACTGATCCACTAAACTTCTTAGTTGTTTGATCTCGGTTTCGTATTTATTTTTATCTTGGACAAGGCATGTCTCTTTGCGGTCATATTCTTTCTGTAAATTGCACAAACTTTCCTCCAAATTTTTTATTTTTTCCTTACTATCAAATATTTCCAAGTCCCTTTCAGCAACCTACAACAACCAAGATATACAAGATATTAGTTACAAAAAATAAAAATGGTAAAGCTTAACATGTAACCGCTTACAGTGTTAAAGAGCTGAGCATTCTCCACTATTTTCTTTTGTAATTCTTCATTAACTACGTCTACCACTTCATTATAGGATGAAATTTCTGCCGGCTTATTCTTATTCTTCTTAGTACTAGAATTATTTTGTAAATCTTGTTGTAAAACCATTATTCTTTTTGTTAGTTGTTCGTTTCTAAAAACTAGACTTTCTATTTCTTGATCTCGTTTACGCATAGTTTGTTCGTGCTTTTTGACTAGATCTGTCAGCTCAATATTTTTGGTTTGTTCATCCAGTACGGCCTTTTTTAAAACGGCAGCTTGGGACCTCACCTAATCAACAATAAAATTTAATACTGTACATACATAAAATTTATTATATATTATATTTGTAAATATTATCCATTAAGCATAAAATTAGTATTAGTAGTATTTATAAAACATTTCAACAGTTAACTACCAAATTTTATTTCCTTTTATTTATAACCTCTAAAATAACTGCAAAACTACATACTTTAGAATACTCTGTAGCAAGTTTGTGATATTTAGTTTCAATATCTGATTCTCTATCCATTTTAAATATGTACCATTTTTTAATTCCCTTTCTATTTATTTTGATTCTATAAAAATAAATAATAAGGTTGATAGTTATTATAACCTAACTACCAATGGAGAATTTTCCTTTCATATCCATGTCTGACAAGTAGTGATCTGAACCTGAAACTTGTGTATTTAATCTAAGATCTGAACTGAACTATCTAAAAATCTATTTCAAACAATTTCATTTCACTCTAAATTCTATAAATCCCATATAAACCTGTCTTAACAAAAATATTTTGTGTTTTACTGAAATTCTACTGAAGCTAATTACAGAACGGACCCCTAAATATTATTTGGAAATTAATAAACCAAGAAAAAAACTATATTCTGTGGTTTTTGTCGTCCGTGGTGTGCAGAAACTTCATTCATAGGTACTTTCGTTTTGGCAAAAATGGTACCTAATAGCAACTAATATCAGTTCAGAGTAACTCTAAGTTGCTATTAGCTACTGATAGCTACTATTCTTGCCAAATCGAAAAACCCTCATGTGGTGTACAGGTTATGTATATAAAGTGTTGAAAAGGTTATGTCAGATAAGTAGCAATAAATTAGTGCAAAGTGCAAATACTGCAAATATAATTTTAAAAATATATACAATCATGGTGGAACAACAGAGGCAAAGAATTGAACAAGAAATGACCAAAATGATAAATGAATTGGACGTCGATTATTTACGAAAAATGCAGGTACCGACAATAAGAATTATCTCATTTTAAGTTTATGCTAATAATTACTACCGCTATTATTAAAAAGTATATAGCATTAGACATTTATCTATAATCTGGGATATTACATGTAAAAAATGGAAGAAAAGTTTAAGAAATATATATATAACCTTACATTTTCCATGTCTGATATAACATGTTTCTACTTCTACTATTAGATATATTTATACATGGAGATTTGAGTAAAGCTTGTATGTTGTAAAATATGTAATGGCTGAACAACTTTTAAATACATCTTTTTTTTGCAGGTGGTATCCTAGAATAAGAAAACGGCTATGTAAATAATTAAGAATTTTAAAGGTAAGGTTGTTTTTAATTGCTCATTCCAAAAATTGTCCACAACTAACACTTGCACATGAGATTTTAATGTACTCTCTGAAATTGTGTTAGTTTAACGATAACATATATTTAAAAAAAGTCTGTATTTTTTTAAATAAAGGCCGACATGCATAGATGCGCTGCCGTTTGCTGTGAAAATAGGGAAGCTTCTTTGGAAAGAGTTCAAAGATGTGTAGAAAATTGCTCCGTAAAAATAAATTGGGCGCAATCTTATGTACAAAGAGAACTGGAACAATTACAAAATAAACTCCAAAGATGCGTAACGGATTGTAACGACGACGTAAGAGTACAAATGGGTCCCAATCCATCAGAATCGGAGGTAAATATGGACCGTGATTAGAAAAAGTAGAAGTATTACAAGTATCCTTTGTTTTTAGATAGAAAAATTTACAGCTATATTTGAGAAATGTGCCAAGAAGTGTGTCGATAAGCAGATAGATTTTATGCCATCTCTAGTGAAGAAAATTAAAGCGGACCTCTCTCGGGGACAACCTAATAACTGATAATCTCACCTTGCCTCACATAAAATATTTTTAGAATTTTCACCTTTAAAAAGATGTGTACTTCCAACTACTTACTTGTCTGCTCATTAAAAGGTGTTTGTAGATATTTAATAGTTGTTTAGTTTTCGCATTTTTAATTATTGGTCGACTGATTGCAAAAAAAAAATTACAGTAATTAGACTTTTAAAATAGAACAATATAGGGCATTAGAAGTTTGATCATCACGAAATAGGTGACGGTATACTTCAAAATAAAAAAAAGACCTTTCATAAGTCCCAACTCTACAAGATCGAAGATGGGTTTATTCAAGTGCAATGTTTTGGTGGAAGTAAGAGAACGAGGAGAACAGATAAATAAGAGAGATTATTTATTAAAAAAAATTAATATATACACATACATGCACCAAATCATCAAAGTTTTCTTAACTCTACTGTAGATTTTTAATTGGAAAAAAATAATACACTCAAAAGTATGTAAGTAAAAAAAATTGTACAAAGACTAACAAAAAAAAAGACAAACATTGTTCATAATTAATTAGTCATATTTTCTCATTTATTTCGCACTAAAACGAGTGTATTTGTTTGTACATGTACACCAGTCAGTTCCGCCTCTCACAACCACCCTAATAGAATTTTTTCGCATGGCTATCTTTACTATCCCTAAAAAAGAGTGTCAAAAAATAACAACTTAAGGACAGTTTTATATTTCAAACCTTACCTATAAATGTTGTATCCTAAGATAATCAACAACTGGACGACGGCTATACCTAACAGAGTCGTAACGGAAACGCAACTTACGTTGGGGCAATTCTGGCCTTGCCCTAATTTCTGTGAGACTTGGGCAACGTTCTGTTTGACGTGATTAAGCCCGTCTCGCATCTCCGATATGATGGACTGAGTGTCGTAACCCACCGACTGCACCTGAGCGGTGGGCTGCTTGGCCTGATTATTGATGACTGTGTCGGCCCTTTGCTTCACCTCCAAGACAAATTGCCTAAAATGTTTAACGTCACATCTAAATCACGTTAATAACAGGAGGAAAGTTTGCAGGAGTCGAAATGGACAGATTGGCGATAGAGTAGTTTGCACCAGTCAATTTATGTAAAATATGTTGAATAAAATGTTTGCAAATTTGGAGATTTATGCAGGGCAAAATTTTTTTTTCAGGGGAAATCCTAAAAAAAATAAAATCCGCAAAAATTTGCCCTCCTCAAGAACCCCAAAAATTCCCGAAAACCCCGGAAGGAAAACCAAAATCCGGAAAAAATTGCTAAAAAATTGACGGAGAGGAAAAAATTTGTATACAATTTTAGAAATTATACTGAATACTCAATTTTTAATATAGATAGAAGAAAATTGAATTAGTTTAATTGGCCAAAATTAAAAAAAGTATTTACATTTTTCAGAAAATATAAGGCCAAATTTTAATAATGTTATTTTCTCCTAAACCAAATATCCCACAATAATATCCATGTATATCCAATACTGTTTTAAAATCAGCAAGATAATGTTCGGAAAAATACAAAAGAAAAATGAATCTGGTGGTGGCACCAGATATTGCCACAAAAAATAATGTGGCAAAAGTTTTAAAACATACTTTTTTATTTTTTCAATATATCGTTATTTAACTGGGAATTACAAAAAATTTAAATTTAGTTCAGTAAACAAAGACAAGTAAAAATTAGGAAAAATTCCTTAGATCTGAATGAACTACTTTAACGCAACTGAATGTTAGAGCCTCATTTTCAAAATGGCATCCAAAGTGTGCAAAAAACAGTTTTTTCATTTAAAATAAACGTTCTAGAAAAAAATGTTTTAGATAAAAGTTGTAGAACTTTTTATAACAAAAATTTTGATAAACAAATGTATTAATTGCAAAAAAACGGCTAAAAACTGCATTTGTAATATAATAATCTTTATTTGCAATAGGAAACGTCCTAATATACAAAAATTTGATGTCAACAATGTTGACTCCATATAACTTTTTATACCGCAATAAAATTAAACTAAATAAAATACATTTAAAAAGTATACTGTAATACAGTGTGAAAACAAACTTACATTAATAATATACATTTCTAAATCGACTTAACATACTCTCACATTTTCTCAATTCCTGGTATCATTTGGCAATATTTTGTACTGATCAAGACCTTTATATAACAACGTATTTCTGGTTTGACATATTTAAAACGAGAAATGATTTTTTTTATGAAACTTTTAGAACATATAGTCCTTGGTAAGTAAAAAAATGCATTTTTGTACACTGTGATTGAGCAGGCTCGCTGAACACTAACTGAGCACCCTGTCACAGCAAGCATTTTTATGGGACCCAACAAATTTAAGTTTACTGCAAACAAAGGTCAATTATTGTGGACTAATTTTTACACTGAAAAAATAATAATTTTTCAGCTTTCAAATGGCATTAATGTCATTCCGATTAAATTTTAACGATAAGAAAAAAATCTACATTTTTTGACCCAAAAAAAAAAAGTCAAAGTTTCCATACATTTTTTGCATATTTCCGATTATTTTGCAATTCGCGAACAATTTGCACAAGAAAGTACAACTCTTAGAGAAAAGTTTAAGTCCAAAACGGGCCCCGTAAGTGCATTATTGTATGATTTATGGAAACTTGAAAAAAATATATATTTTCGAAAAACTCATTTTTTTCCATTTTACAAAAATGCACTTATTCTACTTGTCAAGGACTACATATTCTGAAAGTTTCGTAAAAAAATCTTTCTTCGTTTTAAAGATATAGAAGTTTTAAAAAAAATGCAATTTTTAGCCAGTTTTTTGCAGTAACATGTCTATCGATTGACATCTGGTAGGGCTTAAAATTTTTGTTATAAAAAGTTCTACAACTTTTGTCTAAAACATTTTTTTCTAAAACGTTTATTTTTTTTTAATTAAAAAAACTGTTTTTTGCGAACTTTAGACGCCATTTGCCCTAACGTTGAGCTGGGATAAAGTAGTTCATTCAATTTTACGAAATTTTTCCTAATTTTTACATGTCTTTGTTCCCTGAACTAAATTTTGACACGTAAAAATCTAATTTGATTGGACTAAAAAGTAAAGCTTTGGCAGAAAGTTATAATATTTTAGACTATGCCTTATTTGTGCCATCTNATCCAATACTGTTTTAAAATCAGCAAGATAATGTTCGGAAAAATACAAAAGAAAATTGAATTGGTGGTGGCATCAGATATTGCCACAAAAAATAATGTGGCAAAAGATTTAAAACGTACTTTTTTATTTTTTCAATATATCGTTATTTAACTGGGAATTATAAAAAATTTAAATTTAGTTCAGTAAACAGACACGTAAAAATTAGGAAAAATTCCTTAGAACTGAATGAACTACTTTACCGCAGCTGAATGTTAGAAAAAATAGTTTTTTCATTTAAAATAAACATTTCAGAAAAAAATGTTTTAGACAAAAGTTGTAGAACTTTTTATAACAGAAATTTTGATAAACAAATGTACTAGTTATTACAAAAAAACGGCTAAAAATTGCATTTTTAATATAATAACCTTTATTTGAAATAGGAAACGTCCTAATATACAAAAATTTTTTGTCAACAATATTGACTCCATATAACTTTATAACGTAATAAAATTGAACTAAATAAAATACATTTAAAAACTATACCACAATTCAGTGTGAAAACAAACTTACATTAATAATATACGTTTCTAAATCGACTTGACATACTCTAACATTTTCTCGATGACACAACATTCCTGGCATCATTTGGCAATCTGTTGTACTGATCAAGACCTTTATATAAAAACGTATTTCTGGTTTGATTTAAGGTATGCCTTGGACAAATTGTCATTAAATCTTGTATTATACTGATGAACCTTATTCGCATAAACAATATACTTTTGAAGATAGATAAAACTTCTATATCTTTAAAACGAGACAAGATTTTTTTTACGAAACTTTCAGAATATGTAGTCCTTGGCAAGTAGAATAAATGTATTTTTGTGCAATGTGAATTGAGCAAGTACGCTGAACACTAACTGAACACGCTGTCACAGCAAGCATTTTATGGGACCCAACAAAATTAAGTTTACTGTAAACAAAGGTCAATCATCGGGGACTATTTTTTATACAGAAAAAAAAAAATAAAAAATTTTGGCTCCTGTTGGTCATGACTTTTTGTTAATTCGTGAAAAAACATCAGCTTTCAAATGGCAATAATGCCATTCCGATTACATTTTAACGATAAGAAAAAGATCTACATTTGTCGATTCAAAGAAAAAAAAGAAGTCAAAGTTTCGATACATTTTTTGCATATTTCCGATTATTTTGCAATTTGCGAACAATTTGCACAAGAAAGTACAACTCTTAAAGAAAATTTCAAGCCCAAGGTGGGTCGCGTAAGTGCATTATTGTATGATTTATGGAAACTTGAATAAAATGTATTTTTTCGAAAAACTCAATTTTTTCCATTTTACAAAAATGCACTTATTCTACTTGCCAAGGACTACATATTCTGAAAGTTTCGTAAAAAATCTTTCTTCGTTTTAAAGATATAGAAGTTTTAAAAAAATGCAATTTTTAGCCGTTTTTTTGCAATAACTTGTTCGTTTGACATCTGGTAGGTCCAAAATTTTTGTTATAAAAAGTTCTACAACTTTTGTCTAAAACATTTTTTTCTAAAATGTTTATTTTTTTTTTTATTAAAAAAACAGTTTTTTGCGAACTTTAGACGCCATTTGCCCTAACGTTGAGCTGGGATAAAGTAGTTCATTCAATTTTACGAAATTTTTCCTAATTTTTACATGTCTTTGTTCCCCGAACTAAATTTTGACACGTAAAAATCTAATTTGATTGGACTAAAAAGTAAAACTTTGGCAGAAAGTTGTAATATTTTAGACTATGCCTTATTTGTGCCATCTGTTAGTAGAAATTTCAATTAAAATCACATACCCCTTTTTTATATAGTAATAATAACACAGAGAGGAGTTTGTATTAATAACATGTCTACAACCTAGCAGGTCACAAGTAGACAACAATGGCTTACAATTTGAATAAATTTTTTTTAAATTAAATAGAAATTTGTGTAAGGGGCTTTTATCAAAATTATTTGTACAATTTGTTAAACTTTTATTGCAAAATAGAACTCTGACATAGCACTACACATTTTTTTTATGCTAACACCCCATTGGAAGACAAAAGAGATGTAAATATGTATAACACAGTCACAATAATTATTGAATACAACTTTTTAAAATCAAATAAAAATTTATAGTGCAACCCATTTCAAACGGGAACGCCCTTGTAAAAAATTTATTTATTGTCCGATTTGTTTTTTTTTTTTGAAAGATCGAGTTTAAAAGGTGAAAAATGAGGATTTTTCCTATTTTTGAAATTTAAGATAAAGTGATTTTCATTATACCAGCAAAAAGGCGAGTAATCGTTTGAAGTTTAATTGGAATTTCTGTTTTACTTTTTATAAAACGTTTCTTATAATTTTTGTTTTTTTTGCTAAAATACTTATAAATTTGCTATTTTTGTCCAGCAAACGTTTTTTTTATGTATTTTGCAATAAATTTGTTTAAATGGTAGTATCGTGTAGATATTTTTTCTTAGGGTGTAAATGCTTCAGGTGCACGGGCCTTGCCTAGCTTCATTTGTGAAGCCCGCAGATTTATCATGGACCTGAAAACTTCACTGGCGACCCTGCATTGCATTAATTCTCAACAAAGTTTTTCCATTAATGTAAGCTATTTTTTAATATGACCGTTTCTATTTAATTTGTCAAGTTTGCTTATCAATTGACATCAAACACTTACTACGACATGTCATTCCCCCCCGACTCCAGCAGTTCTCAATATGTTTACACTTTGTTTTAAAAGTAAGGTTATAATTTATTATTTTCATTTTTATTGTGTATTCCTCTTTTCAAAAAAAAAAAAAAAGATCAAAAATTAAAAAAAACTAGGAAATACATTTTAAATTTAAAAAAAAAAAATTCCGAAAAAAGTCCCTAAGTGCGGTTATGACAAAATTAGCACAAATAACTTACCTTATTTCACGGGCAGCATTTAATATTTGATTCTGGTTGTTAAAAACGGCGTCGACCTCGTGCCTTCTTATGGTATCGGAGAAACCCTGATTCGACGGCTGCCCCGGGGGCGGCGGCGGTATATTTCCCTGGGCCACGCCCGTTTGAGAAATCATACTCATCATTCTCTCCTGACGGCCTACGACTTCGTCTAGTTTTTTACTGAGTTCTGCGGTAGCTTCGTTAATCTTGAGTAATCCCTGGAAGATCTGTCGAAATTCCCTGTCGGTATCCGACTCGAACCAATCGTCCAGGTCAGGTTCTTTCTGTAAAGGACACAACAGTTACAAAATTAATTTTACAGCTGAATAACACCGTACCGCATCGGGATGTTCTTTCCTATAATCGGCCTTCTGCTGCTCTAACTTCTTTTGATAATCTTGGTATTCTTGTTGCAGTTTTTGCTGCTCTTCTCCGGTCACTAAAAAGACGAATAAATAAATTGTTCCATTTTCGAATAATAGAGTTATTGAAAACTTTCAGGTAGTATTGTAACGCTGTTACTGTAATATTACTCAATCAGCATTTACAGGATCTGACACTTACCCTGATTTTGTTCTATTTGTCCTGGCGCATGGAGGCTGTTTGTAAGGAAGTGAATGACATCGTGGTCATCAGCCAAGCCGCCAGTGGCAGCTGAAATACCAAAATAACCATTTTTAGGCAAATGCACATTCTCGGCACGCAAACATACTTCGTAATCTTTGTCATTGTTTGTCATTCCGTTGTGGAATAACACCGTTAAAGTATTTTGGTAATATTCGATCTTTGCTCTTGTCGGAAATGGCTTATTACGGAAATCTCTCAAGCAACCAGCTAACTGCTGAGTGGTTCCATCACTAGAAAGAATTAATGTAACAAAAATTAATAATCACAATCTAATATATAAAAATACTGTAGTTAGTTAATATTGTAATTATCTAAACATATTTATTGACAAGAAAAAAAAAACGTGTAAATATTTCCTACGTTTTAATACCTCCTAAAATGTGGTCTATAATCGTAATATGTATATTCGTGTCCCTTAATAGATACCAAGCTTATATAATAAAAATAGTAATAAAAAACCCACTTAAATATGTTCATTTTAGATACTGTAATATTTATTGGTTATTATTTGTAGTTAATATCCACGCCATGGAAAAAGTTTAGATAGTTTTTAGAAATAAAAGGGCTTAAACTTTTAAGAGTCCAAAATTATCCTGCTCTCTAAAAGTAGTTAACATAACATTAATCGGTGCCGATAAATTCTGATTGTACATTACTTTATTAGTTAAAAAATTTAGAAATTTGAATTGAAAGTCACTTATTTATGACCAATAAAACACGAAATACATCACGCAATGAAACAAATTAAAATATTACTTACTTCTGATGATCAAATTGTTTGGTGCCGTCGTTAACGACAGCCATAATGTAAGGATTGTTATGTTTGTTGTCATTGTCAAACGAATCAAAAAATAATCCAAGACCAACCCATTTATCGGAAGAACCAAACACATCTCCATCATAAGCTCCTTTACTTTGCGTATACCAAAAAGCCTACAATACAGAACAATTAAAAAAAAAAGATTAAAAATATTGACTTACTAATCCATCAGCACCAATTCTTCCTCTCCCTGTTATTCTGAAAGCAATATCCACATCCCACCATTCAAAATTAATTGGCTGTTTTGTCCATATTGCGCCTTTCTGACTTCTTAGTGATGGGGCTATTCTAACGTTCTCCGAACTTGCTATAGCATCTATAAGAAATTTTGTGTTTTTTGTTAATGGAATATAACTATTGGACAGATGACAGCTTGTACGGAAAGTATAGTAGTAAATCTACATATAACACTTATTTCAGTTCTGCTACCTACTAAAAAGGTTACTTTTAATAATGGTCATAAAATAATTCTTAAAAAAAAACGGGATATTGGCAGGCATACCCACTTAAAAACGTAGGAACGTAATTTCATAAAAATTCAATTATTACCAATTAAAGTGTAAATTAATAAAGATTATTCTACTACTTGGTATGTTTATAACACTGGTTCAATTGTGCGTTACTCATAAATATTGGTCAATTCAAAAATAATAATTTTCCTAAGAATTTTTTTGAAAACATCTGTTTTTCACTTACACGTGTCATAATTGACGTTTCAGTAATAATATGGTTATGTAGGTACTCGTTTTTCTTTGCAATTAAAATTCTTACCGAGGTCCAAGAGTAATATGAGAAAAACACGATAGCAAATCTTTCAAATAATGAGAAGAAAATACTTACTGCCCCCGTATTCCCAAAACGGCACTGATCCATCCTTTTGAGCCAAGTAAGGCGGTTTAAATGAATATTTATATTCAAACTTCCTATGTACATGTACTAAATATGCACCGATCAAATTTATTAAATATAATAAAAACAATAAGAAGATACTATTATAATTCAATAATTTCCCCATGATAAATTAATTAATTGCGGCCGTTTTTAAGAGATCATGATTACAGTTAACGTAGCCGTAAGGAAGACACGACACATGTACGCAAACGCAAGAGAAAGTTGACAACACAGATCTACCAATGCACAGTGCACAGGTGGATAATAGGATCCTTTATACGTACAGAACTGTACTTTCGGATGTACCTGTTGGAGCACTCCAGATCACTCGAAATATGTTCTTGATACACAACATCAAACTTATTCAAACCAGCTAATTTCACACGTAAAACAGATGAGAAAAGCGTCAGTGTCTATGGCGTCAGTATAAAAAGCATTAAGCCTTAATCAAGGATTTCTTAAATTTAAGAAATCCGTGGCCTTAATAGACAAAATCTCCTCCACAAAACATATAACATTCTTCTCAATCGATCTCCAACCAATTTTATTTTAAAATGAATAGAATATACTAAGCTATAAATTAATATAAATATTGCAATTTGTTTTTAGGAACTTATTAAATAAAAAGTTTCCCCCCTCTCCACACTATTTCGGTGCATATGGGACACTAGCACACTATCTATTATTAGTAAGATATTTGTTTACAATAGTTTACATGGAGTTCGTTCTCCTTCTGTAGTCTCCCTCGGCAGATTGGAGCGTTTGGGGACCGCAGCCTATTTCTTACACCATCTTTAGCATATAAAAATCTGTAGTATTGACAGAGACAGGCACAGGCTGCGATTTCCAAACACTTCAATCATTCTGGATCTCTGTACATGAAAAATTTGTGGTTTGAAATAATAATAGAAAATTTGGATTTTAAACTTTATCTAATATAAATTAAAATAATTGAAATGATGTTTAACAATAACTATTAAAAACAAAAGAGCTACATGCAAGGAATAGAGCGATCCACAAAACATGAGCGACATATCAATCTATTAAATTTAGTACCACTTCCTAGCGGATGTTTTAAAAATAAAGAGATGTGATAAACACTTCCATGTTTTAAAAAAGTATATTGGAGTTGTGTACAAAAAAAAAATATTATCGTCAACCGTCCTTTTATGTCCGTACTGATTTGTATTAGGTATATCAATGGTTTTATAAGCTACGCTATCTACATAACGATTACGCTGTATCTACAGACCGTAGAAAATTTTACTGATAAATTATATGGGTTTTATATNTTTGTCATTGCCAATGCAATTTCTTGGCATTTTTTATGAAATACAAATATTATAAATGAAAATTAATGTCCACTAATGTACTTCGAAAGAAAAATCGTCACAAGAGTAAATTCTTCGTCAATTCGTCAATAGCACTTTTTCCCCTTAAAAAATCATCACTTTGACGAAAAATCGTCACAGTTGGCAACACTGGTTTACATGGAGTTCGTTCTCCTTCTGTAGTCTCCCTGGGCAGATTGGAGCGTTTGGGGACCGCAGCCTATTTCTTACACCATCTTTAGCATATAAAAATCTGTAGTATTGACAGAGACAGGCACAGGCTGCGATTTCCAAACACTTCAATCATTCTGGATCTCTGTACATGAAAAATTTGTGGTTTCAAATAATAACAGAAAATTTGGATTTTAAACTTTATCTAATATAAATTAAAATAATTGAAATGATGTTTAACAATAACTATTAAAAACAAAAGAGCTACATGCAAGGAATAGAGCGATCCACAAAACATGAGCGACATATCAATCTATTAAATTTAGTACCACTTCCTAGCGGATGTTTTAAAAATAAAGAGATGTGATAAACACTTCCATGTTTTAAAAAAGTATATTGGAGTTGTGTACAAAAAAAAAATATTATCGTCAACCGTCCTTTTATGTCCGTACTGATTTGTATTAGGTATATCAATGGTTTTATAAGCTACGCTATCTACATAACGATTACGCTGTATCTACAGACCGTAGAAAATTTTACTGATAAATTATATGGGTTTTATATGCTACAGCACAGAACAGAGATTCGTCTGAAATCTGGGGCTACAGTCCCTTGTCTACCTATATCCGTATCCGAGCATAAGCACGCATACCCCCTTCAGCTCTATGTGCGCCACTGCAAACATGATTTTTTGTGAAATAAAAATATCTTATAGAACTTATTACTACAATTGATTACTTGCTAAGGAATTAAGAAATGTTTTATATCGATTTTCCTTAAACGTATTGATGGTACATTGATAGTATTATAAACAAAATACTATGAACGTTTGAATTTGGCGGGGTGTCAATTTTAAAATAGAAAAATTTGATGGCTGTCTTGTCTGTCTAGCGGGTAAGTGCGGTCTGTCAGTTTGTAATAGTCCGGGTCGTGTGACATGCACAAGGTGTAACTTTGGCCTGCAGTATTTAAATAAATTGATGCAATAAATAAAGTAGCCTAATGGTTGTGAAATTATAATTAAATCTCTGCTTTTTTGAATGGATCCTTCTATATCTTGGTTTCAACCGGAACAAGAGGGACCTGCGAAACTATTGTGGCTTCGAATTTGGCAAACTCAACAAGAACTGGATAATATGAACCTAAAAGAAGGTGATGGTGATATGGATCCTATAACAAACGGTTTTAACACACATAATAATCTAATCATGAATGGGAAAACTGATAAATGTAACAACTTCGCTCAGAGGCGTCGTAAAGATAATCGTCCCAGCACCCGACCCTTAAACCGTAAATCCGTAAGTGATTGTGGGGGATGCCCATGGAGACAACCAAAGTTTCCGTATCACAGAGGAGTTATGGGGTAAGTAAAAATATCATTCGCAAATGTAGGGTAAAAAATATTTTAAATTTTTTCTAGATAAAATATTTTGAGTACCTTAGCTTCCTTTTTTTATGTCACTTTTTTAAATGTTTTAAAATAACCACTAAATAAAAACCGATTTAGTAAATATGGATATATATTTTTTTCAAATTGAAGTAGATAAAAAAATTGAAACAATCAGTTTCTAGAAAAAAGTTTTGGGTTCATGAATTTTTTTCTTGGAACAGGATTGTTTCTCCAAATTTATCTTACAATTGCTAGGTAGGTATGTTATGTAAATTAGGCAATTAGAGTGGTACTTGGAAATTCATGCTTGAAATTCCAGTGAACGTTATTATTAACAGATTAATTAGTTATAGTCTTTGACTTTATACTTTAATCAATTTAGTAGTAATTTTTAAAAGTAATTTTCACTGTAGATTACATCAAGAAATGGAACATTTCTACCAATATATGAGTCCCACCGAAGCAGAGGACAAAATTCGAGCAGAAGTTGTTGCTCGTATAGAAAAAATTATCATTTCGAAGTGGAGTGAGGCGAAGGTTGAAATTTTTGGATCTTACCGAACAGGTCTTTATTTACCAACTAGCGATATAGATCTCGTGGTCATAGGTAATTTGAAAATATTACGGATTTTCATTATTATAATTTCAATGTTCCTGAGTAAATACTACATTCAAAATTTTTTAGGGAAATGGACGAATTTACCTCTACGAACCTTAGAACAAGAATTTTTAGAGAAAGATATCGCGGTGGAGAACAGCATCAAAGTACTGGATAAAGCGTCGGTGCCAATCGTAAAGCTGGTCGACAAGAAAACCGACATAAAAGTGGACATATCATTCAACATGTGTAACGGAGTGAAGTCCGCCGAACTTATAAAAACTTACATTGAAAAGTTTCCAGTGTTGCCGAAGTTAGTGTATGTACTGAAACAATTCCTGTTAGAGAGAGATTTGAACGAAGTGTTCACGGGTGGCATATCGAGTTACAGTTTGATATTAATGTGCATTAGTTTTCTACAATTACACCCCAGGCAGGACAGTCTTCGGAATTGTGCCGCGAACTTGGGCGTGCTGCTTATCGAGTTCTTCGAACTCTACGGCAGGAAGTTTAATTACATCAACACGGGCATCCGCATACGGGACGGCGGTAAATACATAAACAAGGAGGACATGCAGAAGGAGATGATCGACGGACACAGGCCTAGCATGCTGTGCATAGAAGATCCACTTCAGCCGTCGAATGACATCGGGAGAAGCAGTTACGGCGTTTTACAAGTAAGTATAATCGTTAATGTAGCGATTATTATTTATGATCTATAGAGAGTGAATTTTAAATTATGTCACAAGTTTCTAATGAAATTTTATATCGTGAGTCTCTAATTTTACTTGTTTGTTGATGTTTTTGCACAGGAAAAAACACATTTACCTGATACGAAATAACTGATAACGTACTATGCACTAGAATGGTCAGGTCATTGGGCCTGACTGCTTAATTTCTTATAATGTAATAATAATAATAATAATAATATAAACATTGCAATCGATACTGTGCATAAAAATGAGACAACGGCAAAATTCAATGATCTATTACCAATATCGGCCTATTTGGTGCTGATTTGTATGTACTCCCTCTCATTTTCTATCTCTTTCATTCCAATACATTATTTGTCTGTCGTATTCTAACCTTAATTTAGATACAAGTACGAATCTCGGCTTTGGGCTTTGAGAACCGTTTAGAAGTTGACACCTATGGCTACTATACAGAGTGTTTCATAAAGACCTCCCGTAAATTCAGGAGACAAAAAATAAGAATATTTGGTCTTATGAACTATATGTCTATCTCCTCTTGTTTTCGAGATACAGAGCGACAAAATTAAATTTTTTAAATAGAATTTTTACGAAAATTTACAAACGGTGCAAAATATATTTATGAAATTTTATAGAGGGCGCTAGTTACGCTACATTCCTATTACATTTTAAGTTCTAATTTTTTTGAGGTTAGGTTTTTCGGGCTCCAATTTATAATGTACAATTTTTTTCCTAAAAATAATGTACTCTTGTTAGAACTTCCTAATGTGGACGGTTTTCAAAAAAAAAAGCCTTTTAATTGAATTCTTACAATATTACGATGAAGAAAATAAGTGACTTTTCTCAAAGTAGGCTTATGTCAAAAGTTATTGATGGATGTCTCATAAACAACGCATACATTCTCAGTAATATTTTAAACTCTAATTAACTTTATATCAAAATTTTAGTGACTGTAATTAGTCATTACTAACTACAGTCACTAACAATCACTAAAATTTTGATATAAAGTTAATTAGAGTTTAAGATATTACTAAAAATGTATGCGTTGTTTATAAGACATCCATCAATAAGTTTTGACATAAGCCTACTTTGAGAAAAGTCACTTATTTTCTTCACCGTAGGTAATATTGTAAGAGTTCAATTAAAAGCCTTTTTTTCTCGAAAACCATCCACATTAAAAAATTCTAACAAGAGTCCATTATTTTTAGAAAATAAAATTGTACAATAGAAATTGGAACCCGAATAGTAAAAAATCTAACTTTAAAAAAATTAGAACCTAAAATGTAATAGGAATGTAGCGTAACTAGCGCCCCCTATGAATTATCCAAAAAATAATTAAACCAGCGTATTTGGCGTCCTTAAAAACCCAGGAATACTAAATTTCATAAAAATATTTCGCACCGTTTGGAAATTTTCGTAAAAACTCTATTTAAAAAGTTTTATTTTGTCGTACTATCACCCCCTGAATTTAAGGGAGGTCTTTCTAAAACACCCTGTATAGGGACATGGTGTTTCATAACTCTACCGACACAGAACAGGCATGTGTAAAGGAATTTATAATGTACCCATTTGTTATGTAACATTTTTTTCTGGTATATACCTACCATTGAAGCGATATTGGCCTCTGAAGATGAGTGTTAAATTTTGAAAAACAATAATATTTCAGCAATGCTTAACATAGAGCAACCAAATTTGGTAAGTGATTTGAATTTATTGTTTATATTTAATTCCCCAATACTAACATGTCAACTTTTTGACGACTAGTCATAAAACTGCATACTTTACTTTTTGACCGATTCAATTGTAATGATGCTGTTTCACAATATCCCAATTTTTTCAAAAATCGTTATTTTTTCTAAAAATTTATTAACCCTTTCAGTACGGCTGACTAACATATTCGTCATTAAGATTTTTGGCATCTAGACGGGTGCCGAATATATTCGTCAGGTGCTAGTTTGTTTTCTGGACATCTGCCTTTTTGTGTCCGGCACCTAAAAATGTTTGATTTGGCTCACGGACGACTGACGAACCGTTTCGTTCGTTTTTGTTTGTCAGACTGACGGATGCCTAAGACTGTCGGCACTGACGAATATTTACGGCAGCCGGCAACGTGACAAAGTCACGTGATAGAATCACACCACGTGCATTTTAGCGGCCAGTCTATGTTAAAATGTCATCTGAAGGGCACGCTGGTCCCTCAAGAAGCTCTTAAAGGGCTAAAAAACGAAAAACGACGGACATGAATTACTGTGGGTTAGATGAACATGAAGTGAACAGCATTTTAAATATATTGGATATTAATGAACTGTATTTAAGTGAGGACGAACCATATATAGACAGCGGAAGTGAATATGCTCCAGACTCTTGAATATTGACCTTTTCTGTTATTTTTATACGTGAAATTAGAAAAATAAAAATTATTTTGTTTTTTCCATATGTTTATCTTTCTGTTTCTCATTTTGTTTGTTGCTTTGTAATCTGTTTTTGCTAAATAAATAAATTTGATTTTATTATATTGACTTTTTAATTAAAAGTTAATATTTTCCATAGTGACGAATATAGTCGTCAGCCGCCTATCTGCCAGTGACAAAACTTCCGTCTGTATGACACGAATCCTACATAGTACTACCGTCCTGAAAGGGTTAAATCAAATTTCCCGTAATTTCCTGAGAAAGTGTTGTACTTTTTTCAATATCACCTCAAACAAGGCTGAAATGAAACAAAAACGGATTTCCAAAATTTCGGTTTTCTTCAAGTATTTCGAAAACTATGTTAGCCTCGATTTTTTAGGGGCATAATGTTGGTTTCCTGATTACACAACTTTGCCCCCATTTAAGCTAGTTGGTATCTCTTATCGTTTTGGAGATTCCTATAGTGAGAAGCGAATTTATAACAGCTTGTATATTATATATATATAAAAAGGAAATATGACAACTCTGGCTACTTCTTTATTTCTTTTGATATTTTTACATTTTATTCTTTTTATTTATTCAGAATTAATGTTGAAAAATAAGGGAAATTTACACTTTTCTTCTTTGTTTCTTGCACATTCCGCCGTAGGAGAAGAACAATATGGCAGCTGCTATTGAGTTACTACAACCGATCGCAGCAAAAACGTGACATATACGATGAGAAATATAAACTCGATATATATTTAAATTAAACATTTTTATTTTTATTGCTTGCTTCATAGAGATCATATTTCGTAATAAAACCAGTACAACGGACATAAAACATAGTATTATAAACGCACGTTTTCAATGTGTCACAGAATCTACGCAACTTTGGAAATGATCGATTTATACAATGAATAAAATATAACACTGAACATATTTCTGTTTAGTTCGTTCAAAACGAATTATTTTGAAATGCCACAAAAAATCCGCGTCATAAGTTGAGTTGTTTTGAATTTGTATCTCTTTACAGGTGAAAAGGGCCTTTGAATATGCCTATACCGTCATAACGAACGTCATCCACCCTCTGTCCTTGTACAACAATTGCTCCAACTCGTCCATATTGGGCAGAATCGTCAGGGTTCGTGAGAAGGTTATACAGCAGAGGCAGTGGATAGAGGACACCATAAGGAACAAACCGTCCCGCTCCTCGAGCACCGGTTCTACGTCGAGTGCGGAGGAAAGCGCCGTTAGTTCTGAGGTACTAAGAAAAATTATAATGTTAGCTTTAAACGTGGGGCGGCTAACCTTCTTGAACAAAGAGGCAGACTTAAAAATGAAAGTGCGTGCATGATAGAATTTCATTTTTAACAGTAAAAATGGTAATATTAACATTTAGAATTATATAGGGTGTCAGTATATTCACGTATACGTGCATGGTGATAATACAGGGTGTGTTTAGAATAAGTGAACAGTGTAAGACTAGAAATTCCTTGAATAATATAAATCAGCTTGGACCAGGAAACAATATTGACAAACTGGCAGAGAGCGACCTGCTATTTCGCTGATATTATGAAAGCAAGACCTGTGTCATCACTATGCAGGTATAAACAATTTTAACTGTCGGTATTGCAGGAAACAACTACTCTGCTGATGAATATCCTGACCAGCATTGAATTATACTAGGAATATGTAGTAAAAGCTAGAATCACCCGTCAATAGAACCAGACACGCACACCAAGTTTGAAACCAGTAAATGTCTCGTGAATCTACTGACAGTCCTTGTTTTTAGTAGATTGCGGCATTAGTCCGCAAAGTAGTTGTTTAGTGCAATATAGTGCCAAATATTATTTTCCAATAAATTCTGCCAAAATTTAGTTTTGCGGGCCATAAGTTGAAGCATTGCCACCTTGATCATAAGGTCTCATCGTGATGTCACAAACAGGGCAAAATGGATTGCTCTATCAAACCAGATTTTAGAGATGTCGTGACATAAAAGTGCGTAAAAAACACGGTTTTTCATTATATTTAAGGTTATGTTACATCACGAGGTGATTTTTCTCCACGAAACTCATTATGGGGTCTAACAAAATCTATTTTAAATGGTTCAAATGGCTTTTTGGCTCTCAGAAATCGTCTGTTCAAATTGATTAGTCTCGCATGTTTTTCGATGTTCGTAAATTGAGTAGCACCACGTGAAGAAATCGGAAAAGGGATAAAATCAAATTAGAAACACTTAAATTTCCTACAGATTTTTTAAGCTTTTGGGGTCGCTGATGACAAATTTGAAGTCAGAATTATGATATTCAAAATGGCGGATCTGACATGGCGGTGTAAAAAAAATATCGAAATTTAGATATGACGACAAAAAAAAATTGTAGAATTCTACAAATAGTGGTTTGGTCTTCAAGTGAGGAGAAAAACTCTAAGTAGCATGACTAATTTCGCTGGTAACACGAGACACAACCGAGCAGGAACTAGGCTTCAAGACTTTTGGTTCGTGCCTCGAAATGTTTTCGGTTTTATCCTTGTCCCCAGGTACATACTTTTATTACCTTATTAATTAACAATTATCCGGGTCATTACCTACTCGGTTTGTGCTTATGTACCCTAATAAACAACAACTAATTTATGTTTACAGCCTACTTATTCTAATCTCATTTGCTAAATACATTTATTTGGGATAATCTCGGATAATTCAAAGTATAATTTATATGGGTCGTAAATTCCCAGAAAGCAAAATATATTTATTAGGGCAGGTACTAAATGTAATTGTAGCGTACCGCTACATACACAAAAAGGAAATATGGATATAAATTTCGTCTTTTATCGCATTGTTTTTGATAAAACAGTACAAAAAAAATAGTTTTTAAAAAACTGTTAACGATTCAACTTACAAAATTCCAACGCAGGTTTAACTTTACATCCATTTGATTTTGAGAAGAATAGTACTTTCAGACTTCATAACAAAAAGTGACTGCAAAAAACCTGTGATTTTCGCCCGTTTTTTCACAATTCGTAGAGGATTTAAAAAAATACATAAAAATATGTTTTTGGTCGCAAATTACTTGTCGTAAAAAATTAAAATGAGCATAGCTTGTAATATTTTGAAAATTTTAAAAATCACCCCTACTTAGGGGTTGAAAAAATGCCAAAAATGAAGAATTTGAATATTACCAATTGATATAAAAACTATTAGCATGTGAATTATCTTAATATATTTTTTTTGGAATTTTTACAATTATTTCTGATATTTTCTATTTTTGGGGATGATTCCACCCCCTTACACGCTTAAGGGCAGATTTTCTAATTCAACAAGCTTATGTCAGTCATGAGAATAAATCTTTCTTTGTATCAAGAATCATTCGATAGAAAAATTCACATGTTAATAGTTTTTATATTTATTGGTAATATTCAATTCTTCATTTTGGGCATCTTTTCAACTCGTAAATAGGGGTGATTTTTGAAAATTTTCAAAAAACTCAAAGCTATGCTCATCTTAATTTTTACGACGAGTAATTTGAGACCAAAAACATATTTTTATCTATTTTCTTCAGTTCTCTGCGAATTGTGAAAAAACGGGCGATATTTGCGGTCACTCTTTTGTGGGAAAATTTACCACGTGACATAACATAACTTCCGACACAGTGAAAAACCTTTTTTATGTTAGGATATCTCGAAAACCTGACGTGATAGATCAATTTTGAGGATGGTAATATTTGTTGAAATTACTAAATTTAATTGTTGCTTGAAACGGATGGTAATTAATGCTGCGTACTGTGATTTTACCTTTTAGGGGTCAGACGCTCCATCTCGTGACAATTCCCCCAACATGAATTACGGCCCGCAGCGCCTAACGCCACAAAAAAGCAACATGACCTGGAGGAACAAAACAAGGTACCGGAGCAACAACCACAACTGTAGTAATAACCACAACAATCACAACAGCTATCAGGCGACGACAACCAAACGTAAAAAACAAACAAAATAATGATAGTGCTTATCCTCGTAGAGTAAGTCTAGACTGTACGACTAGGCAGTAATTCTTGTTTCGGTTAATTCTTGAATATGCCTGGTGTCTTAGTTGTAGGACTACTTATTTAAATGAACCTTCATGACAGAAAAGACTGCGTCTACCATCATGATTAGATTTACCGTAACTGTCTTGCGTTGACGTACAAATTCCACATTCTATTTTTTCGCCGCCCGCGTGGTTTTGGTCTTCATATTTTTTATATGGATGTTCGTGCGCAGTGTGCAGTATTTTTTTTTAATGATTAAAATTTTAAAATGTTAAAAAAAAACAAAAAAATATATAAAACGTACGTTTAAATATGTATATAGATTGCGGTAGTAGTTATTTACTACTATGGTTTTTTTTTAAAGTTGGACTTTCTTAATTGTACATAGACTTATTTTTTTTCAAGTGGGAAAACGACGGTCTTCTTAAATTTTTCATTTCACGGTTTACAAATCCAAGGGTTTGCTATTTAATACAAAGTGCAAATACGGTTTTCCTATTTCTTGAATATTTTATTTATAAAAAACTTTTTGTAAAATACAAAAATGAAGTTTCGTGATTGATGATTTCACTGTTTTTGCATTACATTATTTGTATTTGTATATCTACCGACACAAGATTCAATGCAGATTCAAAATTAAACGTCTAAATTTTACATCAGGAAATTTTCGGTAAAAATGAATGCTCGAGTTAAAAAAATTAAATACGTTAAATGTCAGGCTAATCTAATTGAATATCGCAGAAAAACATAGAGCTATTAATTTAATTGGCAAATTTGATATATCAAGCGTATAATTGTTTAAAAAATTGATCAGACACGTTGATTATTAAGCTGCACATTTTTTTATAATAAAATAAATATATATATACAGGGTGATTCAGGTTTAATCTGGATAACTTCAGGCATCCATAGAACAGGTTAAAATAATGTTCATTCATGATATAAACTTATTTCTTAAAACCCACCGTTTCGGAGATAGAGGGCGTTAAAGCAGGAATTTTTTTCCCATTTTTCCCTCATAACTTTTGAACTTAATAATACTTCAACGATGATTTTCACAAACGTCAGTTTATACAAGTCGCTGCGAGATTTGTTTTTCATGGGTTGCTATAAAGTTAAATGAAATTTACTCGGCTGAAGCGTCAAATATCGAAAAAACCAAGCGCGGAAAAGTTTCAAAATTAATGAGGCAGAAGGTGGTGTGTAGCTGTTTTATTGAAATTAATTAATTTTTTTTAAAGTGTTGAATTAATGTAAGAAGGGGTAGCACACAAAATACATTTCTAAGAGGGGTAGGTGGTTCAAATAAACATTATTATAACCTGTTCTGTCCATTCCTGAACTTATCCAGATTAAACTATATCACCCTGTATATACAGGGTGTTCCAGCTAAAGATACGACTTCATCGATGATGTTTTTGAATAGTAACCCTAGTTTTGTTTTTTTTTTTGGGTTTTGAAGGGAAAGTAAATTTTGAAACATTTACTCTTAAGTTGCACCAAGTTAAAGATTGTTATTTTATAATTCTTGTAATTTTAAAGAATGAGCGTATGTTATTCAATCAATTTGGTCTCGGCTCGGTATTTTTGAAGGAATAAATATAAAATTTAAACCAAGACGAAATTTTTATTTTGTCGGTGTTCATCGCGAACACAAAATGAACCCCGTTAAAAGAGTCGTTTTAAAGTTCCAAAATACCAACGTGAAACGAATTTAATTGAATTACACATTTTTAAAGATTACGACAATGGTAAAAGAGTAAAATTTAACTTGCTGTGCCTCGAAAACGACTGGAACAGAATAAATATTTGAAATTTGGTGGCGACTTTACGGGTGTGTTGGAAAAAGTCAAAAAGAAACTTGGGGTGCTATTTAAAAAAATCGGTGACGTCATGTCTATTTTTTGGGACGCCCTGTATATTTTTTGATTAAAAAAAGTGTGTGGCATACTAATTGATGTGTCTGTTGTTTTTTTTAAAGCAATTTTATACCTATATTTCATTAAATTTCATGTTCTTCAACATATTTGTGGAATTCTTCCTTTACGAGTCGAATTGTAAGAATAAAAAAAGCACTATTAAATTGCCTGACGTAAAGACAATTATTTTTATTGCAACAGCTCGATTTTTCCACTAAAACTATGTAATCTAATTATTAGCAAAAAAAATGTTTGTTTATTTGAAGCTGCTATAAAATACTAGAGGTGGGCACTTTTCAGATAAGTGTGTTACGGACATGTCAATGAAATGTCCGGACATGTCGGGAAAAGTACTTTTGACCTTGAATCTAATAAGGTCACTGCTTGAAGTTACACAAAACAAAATATTACTTTTCTTCTAATGAATGCGTCGAATTATACAACTTTTCATTCTTGAAAAGTGTATTCAGACATTTCCGCGGCACGTCTCTATAAAATACCCTAAAAAACTTGTTTATTGAAGACCTTTGAAATAATGAAATGTAAAACACAACGTGCCTAACTAAATATGTTACTAAAATATTTACGAAAGTAAAAAAATACGTATGTTCGTTTAACAATGGGATTGTTTCTCTGTATATTACCAACAGTAGCGACAAAAAACATCTATAAAAAATGTGACCGCCAAAAGTAACGTAACTTATTTTACTATTCAATAAATATTAGCATTAGGCATATCTTGAATACGTTTTACAAAATTTCTGTAGTAATTTTTTTTATGTAACAAGTTTACAGGTATTTTTTAAGATATATTTTGGTGCAATAGTAAATTAATTTAGTAGAAATTAATTTTTATGATTATCATTCAGTAAATGTAGTTATTCCAATTTTTATGAGGAATTCTCGTGTGTTACTATTACGTTTATAATAATAGTAAAAGCACTAATCCAACTGTTGGAAATTTTACGAATATGTTTGCTGAATGTTTAATTGTTGAATTACGGAAAAGAAATACTTTTTCTCAGTTTCAAAGTGCTTTTTTTTAAGTAAATCATTTGTCACTGTGTATATATTGTAAAAATAACTGTAAAAAAATTGTGATATAGTTGATAATTATATTATAAAGTAATTAACATTTTGATGATATTCAGGGATAAAAATGGGATGTTTTTTATTGCCAAAATATACATTTACCACCAACTATTGTTCTAAGCATACCGATCGTTCTTTGGGGACTCATTTTAGAATTTGCGTAATGTATATTTTGGTGACCTAGGGCTATTTCCAACAATTTGTTTGTCGACTATTTCAATGAAAATTAACTTTTTATTTTAATCGATATATTAAAGTTAAGTTGGCCAATTTCTTCTTTAACTAACGAATTTGTAAAGATCGATGATTATTTATGTGAATATGTTAAATAGGTTAAGTATTTATATTAATTTATAGCTTTTAAGGGTGAGTTAAAAGTCCTATTTATAATGCATAAGCTTATTAAAATATTTGGTTTAATAAGGATAGACTTATTTTAAGTACAAATTTAAAAATTGAAAAAAAAACTTTTGAAAAAAGCAAAAATATTTATTATCATAAAGCGCCAAGATTTTATACTGTATACTTTTGGATTTAACTGTTTAATATATTTTTTATCTTGTGCGTGAATTTAATTGTTTTATTTTTTTAACCTTTGAATAAATTCGTCTTCCGTAATCGTGGACTATCAAAATATACAGGGTGTCTCATCTATGAGACTTCGGGAGCAGATAGTACGACGAAAAATAATGGTGCTTTGTCATATAAACTTATTTCGAAATCTCAACGGTTTCCGAGGTACAGGGTGTTAACAATAAAAAATTAAAATTAATATCCATGCTGTAATATCAAGACTTGCACAACCAATGGCGGAGTATGGGAAACTCATTCGATCCGGTTCAAAATAATTATTGATTATATTTTCTGAAAAAGCGTGCCAATGGAATTCCTGTTAGAAATATTTCGGCTAGTTTCAATTAATTTAAATAAAAAATAAAGTAGCACCCTTCGAATCAATAATATTATTATTTGATTATTTCAAGAACTTCAAGAGAATCATTAATTGCCATGATTTTTAGATTTTTCAAATATTTTTTACCGCCAGTAAATTTTTTTGATCGAATAACACCATTTCAGTAAATAAAATACATGAAAATTTAACTAATTAGTAAATGACAAAATGCCAATAATTCAATGCATATATACAGGGTGTTCCGAAATTATTGCAACAAAATTTGCTCATAGATTCTTAAGATAAATTTAGGGGACCCGTATTTTTTCTTTTTGCCAAGTGGCCCCCTCTTTCGGAGTTACAGCCCCCTGAAGTTCGCCCCTAAGAATAATCTTTTTTTTATATCTCAGAACCCTCTTGTACAAGAATCACTAAATTTGGTACACAGGGGTTTTATAACATGTGGAATCTGATAGTACTACGCTTTTTGGCGGGGAACCCCCTTAAGACGCTTTTTGTGGGCCCCCTTGTCTTTGGAACCAAAAAAATTTGGTCGCAAATTTGAATTTCATAGAAATTATTAATTAGCTGGAAAGCCATTGAATTTAGAAACTTTTTTGTCTTCTGATATTTTTCTATTAAAACGCAATGTGTTTGAGGAAACTGGTGAATCACATTTTGACATTTGCTCGAAAATATTGCGTTTTACGAAAAAAGTTTCTAAATTTAATGGCTTTTTAGTGGACGATTAATTTTTAAGTAATTTAAATACAGTACAATCTCACTAATCCGGCACCATTAAAAACCTAAGAGTGCCGGAGTACTGGAAAGTTCGGATTAATGGAAAATGTATAAATAAACAGTATTAAATTAAAAACGTTACTTTTTAATTGTTTATTAACAAAGAGATACATGCATATTACAGTAGTATACGCATATTGTAATGTTTTATGTTTCAGTAAAATAATCTTTCAAGTAAACTATAATTGTATAAACTGTATTTTTCAAGAATAGTAAAAAAACGCGGAAAAAATAATGCCGGATTACTGGATGTACCGGTGTAGTGAAGTGCCGGATTATAGAGATTCTACTGTATTCAATCAAATTTTTTTGGTTCCAAAGTCAAGGGGGGCCACAAAAAATTGTCTTAAGGGGGTTTCCCGTCAAAAAACGTACCACCATCAGATTCCACATGTCATAAAACCCTTGTGTACCAAATTTAGTAATTCTCGTACAACACATTTCTGAAATATAAAAAAAAGATTATTCTTAGGGGAGCATTTTAGGGGGTTATAACTCCAAAGGGGGGGGGCACTTGGCAAAAATAAAAAATACGGGTCCCCTAAATTAAGAATCTGTGACCAAATTTTGTTGCATTAATTTCGGGACACCCTGTATTAATAGCAGATTAACTAACTAATAAATGATTATTGTTGCTACTAGCCTTATTGAGTACATTTCATTGGTGTTCAAAATGGACACAATTTGCCTCAATACGTGCCCAGATGCTGTTAAAATATTTAATTGTATACGCTGGAGCTGAACCCTGTCTTCTTTTAATTGGCCACATGCAGTTCTTATACGACGTATTAATTGTTCCTCCAAATTTATTTGGACTTCATACACATAATTTTTAATTATGCTCCATATGGAGAAGTCCAGAGGGGTAAGATCTGGTGCTCTTGCTGCCCATCCAGTTTGCCGTAAAACAAAATGTGAGGAATTTTTTGTTCCCATTGGCATGCTTTTTCAGAAAATATCAATTATTATTTTGCACAGGACCGTACTATTTTTTTTTTTATAAAATGGTTAAATTACCTACTTTTCCATATCTCCACAACCGGTTGCGCAAAAGTCTTGATATTACAGCATTTTATTGAAACTTGACCCAATATAACATACACCAAATTTAATTTAAATACCTCTACTACTTTAGAAGATATTTACAGTAAATGAACGGTTGAGATTTCGAATTAAGTTTATATGACAAAGTACCATTATTTTTCGTTGTACTATCTGGTCCCGAAGTCTCGTAGATTAAAACTTTGAAGAGTTAGATAATAATTTCAAGAAAGTGTAACTTATTAGATTATCCATATTTATATAGAGACTAAAAATCTTTAAAAACAAGTTTGTTTTCCCAAATTTTAACCTTTTTTTAATTAATTTCAAACCCCGCTGCTAAATACCACTTTCAATTTGACTATAAAAATAAAATTAATTAAAAACAACACTGCACTTTACAAATCTATTTCGAATACAGTAGAAACTAATATCTTATACAGAAATCATGAAATTACCTAATAAACTGAAGACTAAAATAAATGTAATAAAATGAAGCATCAACATATTTTGCCATTCTCGTTTCGTTAGATTAACATTGGCTGTACTAACGCCCTGATACCAAATGTCAGAAATCATTGACAATGAAATTCACAAACTAAACACAGTGCTTTAAAAAATTAGTAATAAATACATTTTATTAAAAAACTTGAAATTATTTTAAAAAATATTTCAAATCTATCAGGTCAGTATTTTTATTAATTTTTCCTTGTGTGTGTTTTATAAAACAGAATTATTTTAAAACGTAGGTAAAACAATTTTACTTATAATTAATATTTGTCTTTCCACATACCAATATTAGTTAATATTTAAAAATCATCTAAAATTATACTTTAAAAAAATACCTGAAATTTTTTTTTAATGTTCGGTTTGTCCAAATTGACACCATTCTGTTTTTATTAAATTATTTTCTGTTGCAGTTTCGCTTTCTGCAACACTGTTTGTTCATACAGTTGGCTTAAAAAGGTAACAGCAACACTGACAAGTGAGCACATACAACTGAGTTCGGGAGCTGCCCAGTAACGGCGTTGACAAGAGTTTAAATGCAATTTAAAAAACTATAGCAAAAATAAAACTAATTTCAGGTTAGTATTATGGGAAACACATGTATTATTACCTCTAAAAGTTAACTAACTCCCACATAAAGTTATATTTTGTATTCTACAAATTTTCTATCACATTTTTAATTTAAAAAAAAAACAAACTGGAATGAAAAATTATATTTACCACCATTAATACAATATATTCTTCTACTAACTACTAATACGTATAATTAATCGGTGACATTCACAAATTTAATACAAATAAAAATTTATACAAATATTTGTAAATGAAATAGAAATTATATACAGATATATGTAAAGAATACAATTTCACGGTAAGCTCTAAAATCCAGAAACCCTATATTTGCATTAATCTGGGTTTATCTACGAATTCCATTCCATATCTGAATATGGTATGAGCTGTAGCCGAAACCATGGATCCCCAAAAAAGTAAATACAGTAAAGATTCCGTTGAGTACTCGGATGGAAATACAGCACAAGCCACAAACATCGCAATGGCTATCAACAATACTGACGGGAATGTGATGTATCTCCACCCCTTTTCGACTGTAAAAGGAGAAATTATTTTGCCATTTCCAAGAAACAAATCAATGGAATCCTGTCTAAAACCGTCCATCAAATTATTTTTGTAATATCTAGTTATGGAATTGACACCGTCTCGAATTAGGCCAGCTTTAGTCCTCTTCCCGGTCCTGGTAAAATCTGTCTTCAGTGCGCCCGTACCCGAATACTGCTTACTTATTATATCTGCATTGTCCGCCCAGACATTTTTAAACAGCAATTCGAACGAGTATTGTTGCTCTAAATTCTGATTCTGTTGCAGAATATGAAGCTTCTTCAAAACCGTCTCCAAATTGCGATGTGCCAACATACTCTGAACGACATTCGTCCTGTCTAGACAGTCAATGCAATTAGTTCTAAAAACGCCTTCCTGTAAAGAGGAAAGCGTACCATCCCTTAAAAGCAAAAAGAAACCCATTTCGTCTTGATCCAAGGCCAATCTATCTATTAGGATAGAGAGTCGGTCCCACCTCATTTTCCTGCACTCGGAATGGAAGTCGAACGGCTCGTAACGTACAGAAGGATAAGACAGGATGTGAAGAGTGTTTTTAAAAGCTCTCTCTAATACCCCCTCAGCGCCTTTTTGATCTACCAGATCAACTACAACTTGCTTCCCGTACAATTCGGCTACGTGCTCCAGATGACGCAAACAGGCGTTATGTTGTTCCTGAGGATCAACCTCCAACAATGTCGGAGGAGGTTTGTATCGTAAATCTGGATTTTGCTGCCAAAATAGTGGTATCGACCCTCTCACTTGTACAAAACTAGCTCTATCCCCTTGAAACTCTATTACCTGCTCGGTTTCTACAAAATTAGCAACGTTGCCCTCCCCATCTACACCTCTCCTAAACAACCGTGTACCAGCTCTAAGGATACTTCTTCTCGATATAATAGCCCAGGTAAAATTGTTACCGTTGATGACGCACTGGTTAATCGATATAAATCCATGTAACAGAGGCAAACAGAATTTTTTTAAATGCAAGTTTTTAAAGGGTTGTAATAAATGTCCGTTCCATACAAATCTCTGATCTGCTCGGTCCCATAAAGACTGCTGCCAAAAATCTGGACCGATGTCGTGCAATCGTTGTATAGAATGTGTAATATCGTAGCTATAGCTGAAGTAATGAAATGGCGTCGATAATACCTGCTCGATCATACTCAAGTATAAATTGTTATCCGCTTGTTTCTCAGCACTCAAATGAAACAGACTTCTGCAATAAGGCAGAAGTTCGGCTTTTGCCAGTCTCCATATCGCGTGACCTCCGATATATCCTACCAGTTCACGTTGGGTTGCTATGACTAGGTACCTGCCAGCTAACAAGTTTATGGAACCAAGTAAACCACAAAAATCTTTTCTACTACTAACGGGCGGAATTTGGCCGACATTTCGTTCTAAAGTTATAAATTCTGATGGTCTGTCGATAAGTAACAGCTCATCACTTGCCTTTGCCTCGATATAAAACTTTTCCGACGTGATATATCTAAAATTCAAATGATACACAGTTTCAGAAGATTTATAAATACGATAAACTTACAGAGTTAAATCGTTATAGATATCCCAGGACATATTTGTATCAATATCAATAATTATACTTTCATTGTTTTTATTGTTACACAGTGGTAGATTTTATATATGAAAATTCATTCAAAAAATCTTTTGTGACAAAAGCACAAAGTCCAAGAAAATTAAATAATTATTATACCATCAATTTTTTAATTACACTGTGATTTATACCACCGTTACCGTATAACATTTTTTATACTTGTCATTGCTTGTCTTCCCTGTGCACGTGCAGTGTTGCCAGTTGCCTTGCCACTGCTGCCAGAATAGACTTGAAAATAGAAGAAATTCCCTAGAATTTCGTAATAAGGAATGAACACTCCAATGAATAAAAGACGTTTCATTGGTAAATAAGTTGAGAACTTGAAAAGAGGCGTAATTTCAAAATTGTCTCATTTAACTTAGATATTTGCATCTATAAAAATTCCGAAATTCTCTATTTTACACTTCGATTATATACTATTAGAGGTAACTGGGCGATTAGAGCATACAGCGTAGGAAAGTACCGATGGTCTATCAGAAGTTACGTGAGAGCGATAAAGTAAGCCATAGAAATCCATGTGATAAACAAGGATGGCTATAATGAAGGCGTCTAAATAGTCAACGCCCATTTCGCCCTTCCACAAATAAGAAGTGGATCTTATTTGTGGAAGGGCGAAATGGGCGTTGACTATTTAGACGCCTTCATTATAGCCATCCTTGTCTATCATATGGATTTCTATGGCTTACTTTATCGCTCTCACGTAACTTCTAATAGACCATCGGTACTTTCCTACCCTGTATACCACATGGATGAAGCACCGCGTGTTAAGAGACGTTAAAGGGCATTAAGTGTTTGAGTACACTTTTATACATTTTGAACTGAACATATTAAAAGAAACTTCCCATTAAATCTTAGCATTAACAGGTTTACCAATCTATAACAAACATTAGTCACTGCAAAAAACGCGGCAATTTTTTAAATTGAAATAATCTCATTTTTAGACGAAACGCCAAATAGATAATAATTTTGAACTATTAAAAGTAAAATTTCATGGATTTTATCCAATAAGTCTGGCAAAATTATATTGTTACAATAAAAAAAAATATTAAAACTCAAAAATTCTATTTTAAAATATATTTAAACCGTATATTTGGCATTTTGCCAATAATAACAAAATAATAAGCAGTATCCTACAAAAAAAATAATCACATTACAAGAACTCCTTCTGGAGTTTAGAAAATCCTTCCTCGTTTCTCTTCACTTTCCAATAACAGTCGAGACTCTGCACCCTGGTTAAAGTGTTTAAAAATTCTTCATCGTGAGTAATAATCAGAAGCTGAAAATTTTTTTCTTTCTCCCTAGTGGCTATTATCCGCGACAAGGCATCGCTCAAGCTGAGAATATTTTCCCTGTCCAAATTCGTGGTGGGTTCGTCCAACGCCAATATTCCGCAATGAGCGCTGAACGTTTCGGCCAGCGCCATACGAATCACTAAACACGCCAGAACCTTCTGCCCCGCGCTGCACCTGCCTCTCATCTCCAGTTCCACACCCTTCTTTATTTGAACGACCTTATAGTTATAAGTGCGTCTCCTGTTCACTCCGCCGGTCATACACTCGTCTGTCTTGATCTCTATGTAATCGATATCGTTGCCCCTGTATATGTTCCTCCAAAGTTCCCTGATAATTTTATTGATTTGAACCATCCTTTCCTTGTGGAACTGCAACACGGATCGTTCCAAAACGCCGACGTAGTTGCTTAAATCCTTGATGGCGACTTCGTTTACTCTCAATTCGTAATATTGCTTTTTGTAGTTATTGAAGGCGTTTTTGTTGTCGGGCTTTTCCAAATCGCTCTCCATTTCCGACAGCTGCTTCTTCATCTCTTCTTCTTGGCCCTTTAACGTGCTGATTTCCTTATGGTGGCTCTCTATTTTCCGTTGCAGTCTTTGTTTCTCCTCGTATATAGATTTAATGTTGTAGTCGCCTATTTGTTTCTTCAAGTTGACAATCTCCGTTTCCAGCCTCATCTCTAACTTTTGTTTTTCGCGCAGGGTCTCGTTATCTTTGAGTGCCCTGAAGTTAATTTGTTGTTTGGCGAGATTCTGTTTTTTCGTGGATATAATTTCGGTGATGGCGACTTTAGTATCTTCGAGTTTCTTCTCCTTCGTTTTCAGATCCGCCAATTCCGCGATGGCCTCTTCTAGTTTGGCGTTATTGTTATTCTTCACATACAAGTCGATTTGTTTTTGTAATTTATTTATTTCCGCGATCATGTTCTTAACGGCCATTATTTCGCTCTGTTTTTCTTCCTTAACTTTTCTGTTGTTCATAACCGTGTTTTGTCTTTCTTCCGTGACTTTTGCTAAGTCTCCTTTGAGATTATTTAAAACGTCACCGTGTTCCTGTATTTCCATCTTGAGCACCATTAGCTTCTCCGTGTACTCTTCTTTTTGGACCTCGAGGAGCGGTTTCTGTTGCACTAACTTTTGCATCTCTATCTGCCTCTGCGTTTCAGTCTGTATGTTATTATTTAACCTCTGACATCTGTCTCGGTGCGAATCGACCATCGTCTTATTCGAATCGTACTGGCTCCTGTGATTCTTAAGCTCGGCATTGACACTGTCGATTTCTGCCTCCGTTTCCTGTCTCGACCGATTAGATGGTACGTTTACGATGGTAGATTCCAATTCGGCCAAAAAGTTGTTGGATTTTTCCATGTCCGACATGTATTGGTCCAGTAGGGTCACGTCTGTTATCATAGATTTACAAACTTCGATCGTGTTTTGCGGGGCCGTGGAATTGTTCCTTTCCGAGCGTAACTGTTCGGAAAAAGTGTCGTATTTTGTTCTTAGGTTAATGAGTTCTTCCTCCATCAGCGGGATTTTTGCGTTTGTTAACATTTCAATGTTGTCGTTCACCGGTTTCAGTTGTTGCAGTTTGTTGTAATTTTCCTCGGTGGTCTTCAGGTCCTTCTCGATTTGAATTAGTTGTAGGGGGATTCTCTCGATTTTTTTCTTCAAGTCTTGGATGATGTCTTTGACGATGGATTTTTTTTCAGAGAAATCCGTCTGGCATATGGGACAGCAAGGCGATTCTCTTTCGAATTTGTTAATGAAGGCTTCGTACATAATTTTTGCGGAACTGTACTGCCCTTTGTCCTTCTGCAGTTTCTCCTTTTTATTGTAGTTTTCGGTAAGGACTTCGTTAAACGGTCTTCCCAAGCAAAGATCTTCCACTTTTTTTTTGTCGGTATCCAATTCTTTACGGGAGCTTTCCAGTTTGTCTTTTTGATGTCGAATGTTCGTTTCGAGAGTTGTAACTTTCTTCTGCAACTCGTTTATGGTGTTGGTAATTGTTTTGTATTTGGCATCTGCCTTATTTTGAATCTCGGTCACGGATTTCCTTAAGTTTTTCTCAGGCACGTTTTCGCCGAACAGCTCTTGCAAATTTTGTAGGTGTTTAGTTTTAATCCTGTTAACTTCCCCTTGTTTCTCAATAACGAGCGACTTTTCCCTATCGATCTTTTGCTCGGTCGCGTAATTTTGCTGCAAAATCCTGTTTTCTCTTTCGAGTTTGCGCAGATAATTTTCTTTTTCTTGGATAAGTTCTTTCATTTCCTCGATCTCGCTTAGTTTTTCGTTTTCATTGAAAGAATTTTTTAAGTTTGTTAGGGTGACTTGAAGTTTTTTTATGTTATCTGCTATAATCGTCAGTTGGGAATCGGAAGTATCCAGCTCCTCTAACTTGCAATTGATGTCTTTGATTTTTTTCTGAGATTCCTCTATTAAGTCGTTCTTTGACGAAATCATCTGTTTTGTCTTAACGTATTTTTCTCTCGTGTTATCGATTTCATTTTGTAAATTCTTCTCTTCCAAATCAATTTGTTTAACCAAATCTTCAAACGCCTTTTCAGACGCCTTCAAAGCTTGTTTTATATCAGATATAATCGATTTATCTTCTTTGCTATCAGGGGAGATGGTTATTTCTAGTTTTGATGCTGTCTTTTCTAGTAACGTCTTATTTTCTGCAATTCTCTGATTATGTTGCTTTTGTTCTTCTTTAAGTTCCCCAATTTTAACTTGTATTTTCTGCATATTTTCTTTCAGTTCGTCATTTTTAGCATTTATTTCTTTACTACGATTTTCTAGCTCTATTATTCTAGTTTTCTCGGCTTCTTGTTCTTCTTGGAAAGATACCATTTTATTTGCTAATTCTTCATCAGATCCCTCAAATACGTACGAGATGTGTTCTTTTATAGTGTCCTGCTGCTCAATAACTCCTAAAATAGAATTTTTTAAGTTAATTTTAGTGAATATGAATTAAGAGGTCTCACCTTTCTTTTCCGTTTCTTTTCCAGTCAATTTCCTCTGTAAAGTACTGATAGAAACTTCCAAATTTAAAATTTCTTCCATTCTATCGTCCATAGGGTTAAGCTTAGTCTCTCTCTCTTTGATCCTATCATTAACTTCAGTCAACTTATCATTTTTTTCATTGTATCTGCCTCTCTTCCTTTCAACTTCGTCTTTTATCAATTTTTTTGTTGAAAGTCTTTCTTTAAGAACCTTTACATTGTTCTGTTTTTCTTTTATGTACTTCCTAAACGTTTCAACGCACTTATTGTATTTGACGGCGTCGAATATTTCATCAAACTTTTCCTTAAGCTTTTTGGGTTCATCTAAGGGCCAAGCGGAATTTTCTTGATGACAAAAAATGACATTATTCAATATGGACTTGGAAACATTCAAGGCTGTAGAACAGTAATTATCAATATCTATACACCTTCCAGAAATATCTTTTGGATTACCAGGTTCATCTTTATCCCGTTTGCGGACGTGCACAGCCAATTTTTTGAACGTCAAACCTCCTCCAGCTTTCGTAGACACCAACATGAACCTCGATACTGTTATTTCGTGTCCTTGGCAATCCAAAAACTTTATTTTTACGCTGGCCTTTGTGGAGGATTTATTAGATATTTTCGGATCATTAACGAAACCCTGGCCGTTGCTCGATCCAGCTGGCAACTCACTGGTTAGGGCGAATCTAATGCTTTCTATGATCGTGGTTTTTCCGCTGCCATTCTGACCCAGGAATAGCGTCACTGGAGTATTAAAGTAAATAGTCTCGACAGTATCAGGGCTGAAACTCCTTACGCCGCAAATTTGAAGGCTTTGCAGTAACGCCATTTTTATCTAAAAACAAGAGGTATTTATTTAAAAGTGTATATCATTTTAAGTTAAATTTTAAAACATGGGTAACATTATTTTATAAGCTACAGTATCTATTAAAACTTATTTTACAACCATCATTGCTTAACCCAATAAATTAATAAAAAAAATTGGCCAAGTTACTCGTAACACAAAAACTGATAAATTTCCAAACAAATAAATCAGCTAAAAAATTGGAGACATTAGAGCTAATTTATTGGCAATTTTGGGAATTTCTAATCACTTAATATTCATTTAATAATATCGTTTTAGTTATACTATTTTGATTCCATCTTAAATATTTATAGTAAACAGCATATCCTGGCATAAAATGGTTAGCTGGTATAATTATTATAAAAATAACCCTAAATTTTACCAATAAATTGACCAATTTGTAGTAATGTGCAAAAAGGTGCCACGAATATGGCAAATAATGAGAATTTCATAACCAATTTCTTGAGAACAATTCATTTACGTGGTAGAAAACAGGTTTAAATAAATCACAGATCTAATAGTATAGATCTATGAAATAAATAAATACATGATTGTAATGTCAAAATTAAAATGAACTAAACAATAAAAATTTTTAATATTTCTTCTTTTATCTCAAAAATATTTGAAATTTCTTACCAATTTTGTAATAGATATAATTTTGTTATGCTACAACCTTACAAATTATTACAAGGGCAGTGGCAGTGTTGTTATTGGTATGTTTAAAATGTTCTAATTTCTGATTGGCTCTACAGAATCCATCACATTGAAATGAATAAAAGAACACGGCCCAGCTATTGCTATGGCAACTTAATACAAACAAACCTGTCATGTATGCATATAAGTGTAAACCGAGAATTAATTGTATATACCGTGTATATTAATATAAAACTTATAACAAATAAAGTAATAGTGTTTAGGAAAAAGTAATGGAGTTAGCAGTAGTTTCAACCTCGGTTTCGTCAAAAAAAAACGATGGAAATCTGAAAAGTTATTCGAACTCAACTTCAACGAACTTGAGTTCAAAAAGTGACCAACAGGAAATTATAGAGAAGTTTGATGAAAGTACTAAATCTGAAAATAAACCAAGTAAAGAAAAGATAAGGGAAAGTAGAAACCGTAATATAAAAACGTCTAAAGAAAATCGTATCCACAATAAAATAGAATCTGTTAAAAATATGTTTGAAACATTTAGTAGCGACTCACTTACAGGAAATGCAAAATTTTTTTCTGGTACCAGAGATCAAGCCAAAGAGGTATTTTTTTTTTAAATTAGAAAAGTTATTCTTAGTGCTACTTTTACAATGATAGCTTAATTAAAAAAGTACAAAGACCATATCATTAATTTAAAAATTTTTTAGGATGACAATACAAAACTTGATAGTGAATCTCAATTGAAAGAAAATAAAAACATATTTGCTTTTTATTCCCTTCCACAACTGGAAAACTTTCGCTTGGAAGTCTCTGAAAAAGACTCTTTTATCGTACCTAATGGGTAATTTAAATAACATTAATAATAGGATATTGTTAAACTTCCTTTTTACAGAAAGTCGATAAACATTAATAAATTAACAAGCGGCGAGCAAAAATGTTTAGAAGAAGGGCTTTACGTAAATCAAAATCGTAAAATTAAAAGGCAGTGTATTAATGTGCTGGAGCAGAGATTCTTAGCAAATGACGAGAAGTAAGTGTTTAAACTCTATAAAAATATATTACAAAGTACCATTATTTACAGAAAATGGTTCAACTCTTATGACAGACTAGAATTTTCGGATAATCCCTTAACCGAAACGTCAATCAGACCAGAGAAAATTGAAAAAATGGAAATAAACGATCCTAAATCTCCCATTATCAAAGATAAATGTAACGAAATAGTAATAATCAAAGAAAATATATTAGAAATCTACTTGGCTGAATTAAAATTTACGCATCATCCCCTATTCAGCCTTGAACATGTTTTAGCAGTAAAATTGTGTAATTTATACGATCAATACTCTCTCTGTATTAAAAACAATACGACTGATAGAGTAAAAACTCAGCTCGAAGCATTGAGATATCTTAGACAGAACATGGGGAACAGAAAAGTTGATGAAGGTGCTTCGAAACGAATTAGAAAAGTTGACAGGGACATCCAAAAGGTAAGAAAGGTGTATTTCGAAGAAAGGAGAAAAGAAAGAGAGAACTTGAAGGACATACTAAATACCTGGAAGCAAATTAAAAAAATTAGGGAAAAACAAAAGTTTTCAAATACGAACATAAAATTGCTTATAAAAAAGGAAAAACTTGATTATGAAACTGATAGAACAAACTACAATCGGGAATTTGACGAGACGTTTTGTGAAATGATCAAGGAGAATAAAATTGACGAAAAGGAACAATCAGAAAATAAAATTAAACCGGTTAGCACAGATGTGGAAAACGACGACAAAAAGACTAATTTTACTACCAACGAAGATATAAGAAAAGATCTGGACAACATATTCCAACAAAGTTTCCGAGCGCCTGGAGAACCCGTCTTAAAATTATCACTCTCCGAAAATCATGAAATAACGGAAACAGTAGAAGATAGTAAAGAAGTTAGCAGAAGAAATTCCGTCAGATCCACTAAAATGTATTTAAACATATTATGCGACAAAGTTCCTGTTTGCAAATCTAAAGCGATAGACCTTAGTGACGATTTTCTTTTAAATCTAAAAGAAACGTTTGCTATTCAGCTGCAGAAAGTGCCAAAATGTTTAAATATCGAAGTCATCGAGCAGCAAAAAGGCTTGGCAACGAAAAAAATATGCGAAATTATCATTATGGTTCCAACTCAAAACTTTTCATCTGTGAGCAGTAAGCCCATTAAAACTACATTTGAAGTAAAGGAAATTGTGCATCATAAGCACGCCGGTATCGGAAGTGGTACCAATTTAAAAAAAGCACTGGAAAGTGTTGACTTAACACTCCTAAACAGCAATTACGATTTGACTACGACGGGATATATAAAGTATTTTGTAGGTTGGCAGAAAAAGTCTGTAATACGAAAAGATCCGCTAGGAGAGCAAATCGAGTTACTAAAAGATATCACTAATAAGAATCTTTCAATCAACATAGGTAAATTATCAGAATGGATGGGTCAAAGTGTCCCGGATCCTCAAGATCCAAGGAACGTCGTGTTTTTTGAATATATGGCAAGTTGTGAACCGAAGCTTTTCAAAAATAATAATTTTAGGTAATGTATGTACACAGGGTGTTTTGCATAAGAACTGACAGAACAGGGGTACAACTTCGACATTTATAAAAATGTATCATAAGTATGTTTTCTGAAATTCCGTCGTAAAACCTGATTCTTTACCTATTCTTGTAATTTTCATACCTCACTGGATGGGCTAGTGTAACGTAAATTTTTTCGTATTATAACACATAGATTTAACAATGAACACACACAAACACACCACATACACAGTGTCCGAGGTCACTGACATCAAGATTCACAAACTAAACACAGTGCTTTAAAAAATATAGTAACAAACACTGTTTATTAAAAACCTGAAATGATTTAAATTTCAATTATGTACTTTTATTATACAGTAAAAATAATTATTTTAAAACATAAATTAATTTTACTCACAATAAGTAACGCATGTGATATCAATATAAGTTAATATTTAATAAATTATGCAAAAAATATTATAGTCCAGGCAAATTAGTCATAAAAATAGTGGTCAAATAACGAAAATTCCGACAGAGCTAAATTTTGCTGTAGACCTTGGGTAAACCTTTAGAAATAAAGTGTCAAAAGTCCCCATCGATCCCCTTAGAAAAAAAAAGTATAAGTACCATATTTGTAGATAATTTTAAGATCTATAATTTTTGTCTGGGCTACTTTTTTGATAAAACTTACCGTTTTCGAAAAAAATCCAAAAAACCTCAAATTTTGACATTTGACCCCGAATAACTTTTTTAGCACACATGTGATCGATGGGGACTTTTGATAATTTATTTCTAATGGTGTACCCAAGGTCTCCACCAAAATTTAGCTCTGTTGGAATTTTCGTTATTTGAAATGTCTATTTTGACCAGACCATTAATTTTTAATGTTCAGCATTTCGTCTATATTGACTAGTTACACGCTCTATAAAAATACAAATAAATACACAGAGAAAAACTTTATGTAATCTAAATATTACTCTGCAGTAAAACATTTAATTTATGTGCATAAAATACAAATCATTTGTACAAAAACCATTTCAGATTGAGTCCTTATATGGAAGATTTGAAGTTTTGTGACCTGCGAGAAATAGACCAAAATATCAGATTTAAAATTCTGCATTTGAGAGATCAGAATGAAACTGAATTTGATGGCGTTGTTATTCCTAACCGAATAAAAGAAATTCCATTTAACACTTTAGATATTATAAAAAGACATAAACTCGAAGAGCACAAATACATCACTCAAACTACTGAGAATGAAATTGACACGCAAGAAAACCATGGTAGAAAATATTTGAAGCAAATTTACAAGAAATTATTCCAGATATGTAAAAGTTCGGACAACAATCTGGTATATGAAAGTGTTGTAGATGAAAAGTATTTAGCACATTTTGAGTAAGTACTAGTTGTCTAAGAGAAAAACATTTTTTTTGGCTTACATCCCTTCTGTGCTTTAAGAGTTCTATTGAAGACTGTATTAAAAAACTTCTTTAATTGGTTTCACTGGAAACCAAACGCACCTATATCAATTAAACCTAAAACCCCATTGGAAAATGAACCTCAAGAACACCACAACCTATCCCAACAATATAACATTACCATAAAAATTATTTCCGCGAAAAACGTACCAAGTAGAAATAAAAGCACGTTTAACAAGCACTCTTTATCGGGATCTGAAATCAGCAAAGCTGGATCTAATGAAAATGAAGTGAAGCCTTTTGTAGAAGTATCGTACGAAAACATATCAATCCGAACAAACAGTTCCAGCGGTCTCAATCCAGTTTGGAATGACACCTTAACAATTCCTTTAGAGTAAGTATAAAACAAAGTATGATACAGAGTACATTTCATTTTTCTTGATTTGTGTATATGTTTTTTCATAATGTAACAGAGAAATTTAACAATGAAGACACATAAACACACCATATTGACATTGTAATACTTCATGCAGTCACGAAGTCGCGAAATTGGCTACCATAATACCTCGTGAACTAAAAACTAAAATAAATGTAATAAAATGAAGGGGTCATTCTTGTTTCCCCGAATTAACATTGGTCGTTTATTTTTTTGCTTGCCTAGCGACCTGTTATATCACATCAGGTGGATTGATATTATGTAGTTCATCTAAAATTGATCAATGTCAGAGGTCATTGATACTGAGATTCACAGTGCTTAAAAAAAATAGTAACAAATACTTTTATTAAAAACTTGATCGATTCTAAAAAATATTTTAAATACACGATGTTTATTAAGTACCTGTACAAACTTTAAAGGGTGAATCTTTGACTAATTTTAAGATAAAAAGTTCATATGGACATGTTTTATATGAACATTGGTCCTTGAGATATAGAGCATCCAAAAAAAATGTTTGTTTGATATTTTGATTATATTTTTGTTCAAAGCGGCATTCTACATGTTCTTGAAATTATTTTGCCACATTTTCCATAAATAACAAACAAATTAAAATTATCCTCAAACAATAATTTGACAACTAACTTGACAAATGTCAATTATTTTTGGAGTGTTTCTGGTCATGGCTAATTTGACAAGTCTGATAAGAGAAAAACTATCCAAAAAATATAAAATTGCAAACATCTCTAAAAGTAGTAACAGCAACCCTAACAATGTTTATATGGCTCGAAAGAAAATTTCAATCTGCACACGACAGTAAAAAAATACGGGGTGTTCCATTAAAGTTAACAAAGTTATAGCTGTTTGAAGTTATCAAAATGTAACAGCAAAAATTAAACACCTAGTATTAAATGTTTTAATTTGTTGGTAAAGCATAATGTAGTATTACCTATGCCCTCTATAGGTACCGAAAATACACTACATCACGCTCCTGAAAAAGAGTTACTAGCATCTCCGGACCCTTGCATATCTCAAATTTTTTCTTTAATGATTAATATTGTCAAAATTTATAACTCCTTTGTATAGGGAATATTTAATAAAGTTATTCTCAAATTTCATGTAGAATTTGAAAATGGAATATACAGGGTGTGCCATTTGACACTCCTGCTGCCAATATCTCCGAAATTAAGAAATTTATTTTAGTTCCGGAAATTGGAGTTGTTAGGTCCCTCAAATAGCTTCAAATTGTGGTTAGAATTGTTAGTTCAAATCTTTCTGTACAGTTGGCGTAGCGATATTAAAAAGAAAATTGATCCCTGAAGCGTGAAAATGCCGTCCATCTGAAAGATCGTTAAATTTTGAGTAATTTTTGTAATATAAAGTTTTTCCCTATATTTACTTGTTTTCGAGAAATGTCGACTTCAATATGCAATGTGTGATGTAACAGGAAAATATATTATTTTATCTAAATCACACCGAGACAAAATATTCTTTTAAAATATTGTTATAATGACTTTATTCACACCACATACTAACTAACAAACAATAAATTATAAAAGAAACAAATGATCAACTACAGAAAAAAAAATTGTACAATCGTAAATCGTATAACTAGTATAGTTAAATTGAAAGATGCAAACTGATAAAACTGTAATTATTGGAAAACTAATATGTGTCATCTGTCATTGTTTCGTTTTAAACAAATGACATGAGCCACCTATGACTGCATTTTTTAATAACATTTGATAAAATACGGTTCATCTCTGTCCCTTATAAGATTTACCATTGTACATTTTTTTTTCTGTAGTTATCATTCGTTTTTTTTTCATAATTTATTGTTTATTAGTTAGTACGTGATGTGAATAAAGCCATTATAACAATATTTTAAAAGAATATTTTGTCTCGGTGTGATTTAAATAAAATAACAGATTGTCCTGTTATATCATACATTGCATATTGAAGTCGACATATCTCGAAAACAAGTAAATATAGGGAAAAACCTTATATTACAAAAATTACTCAAAATTCAATGATCTTTCAGATGGACTGCATTTCCACGTTCCAGGGAACAAAGAATTTTAGTATCGCCATGCCATCTATACAGAAAATTTTGAACTAACAATTCTAACTACAATTTGAAGCTATTCGAGGGATCTAACAACCCCAGTTTCCGAAATTAAAATGAATTTCTTCATTTCGGAGATATTGGCAGTGGGAGTGTTAAATGGCACACCCTGTATAGCCATTCAAAATAAGTTAATGTCGACTTCCGGTGTAACCGGAAGCACCATAAAGTTCTAAATATTTTAGCTGTGTTGGCCCTACTGCCTTTGCTAGGTTGCCAAATTTTCCGATGTACCGGATTAGTACTTTCCGAGATATCGATATTTACAATCCTTGGTGGGACGCCAAAAAAAAAATTTACCCCCCACTTAAAGTTAAGATAAACATTATATTTTTGCAGGTACCAAAATATCGATTATTTAAATCCGGAATCTTTAAACGGAACGATTACCGTAAACCTATATGATGAGTACGATTCAATGTTAAAACACCAAAATAAGAAACACTACAGTTGGTTGGGAGCCGTAGAAATTCCACTTTCGGCTGTTTGTTACTCTACATCTGTAAGTCATTGGGCTATAGGCGTTTAATCACTTATTTTTGTACATCACAGCACCGTGCTTACACCGGCTCAAATAATAATTTGTACTTTTCATATGCAGATGTCCGGATTATTCAAAGTAAAATTAGCTCAATTGCTCCTAGGATATGAGACGGAAGCAGAGAAACATATATCGAAATCTCCAAAAATCAATAATTTGCATTCACACTACCACCACACTTACATCCAAATGGAGCTCAGTACCACCCCAAATGTACCAAAATTGATCATCAATATGGTATGTGTTAAAACAAACAATCTACCACCCAACGATGATTTGTTAGTCACGAACAAGCATAAACTTTTAGGAGAGTATGCCTTGTAACGATTTACCTTATATACAACAACACGTCGTAAAGTGGAATCTAAGCTACAACGACGGTTTTCCAGCAAGAAAATTCTCCGCACTGGCGGTGGACACAAACGCCAAAACGACATGCATTACGAGATACTTGAAGCCTTTGGAACCGCCACAGATTAACTTGGAAGAATTCGATGTCACGGCGGAACAGTGTCTCAGATACGTCTCCTTAATTCCGTTTACGGAGTGCAGTTATTTTTATCATAACGTGTGGCTGACGACAAATGTAAGTATATCATATTTAAAAAAGAAAAAAAAAATTTAAGCCATCCTACAAAAACAAATTAAAAAAACAAATGTGTTGGACATTATTGAACAGAAAGGCACAACAAATAATTTATTTTATAAATGAAACACAAACGTGTAAATAGGAAATATTCTTTTTTTTAAAGTTCAAACTATTATCTATATAAATAAAAATTAAATGTTGTTCGTTGGTAAGTGCATTTGGAAAATTTTCTTTCCTTTTAATGTTTGTGATAGTCCAAATAAGAGGGAAAGAAAAATTGGTAAATTCGAGGAAAACTGAAAATGCTCATCACATACAAATTTATTGAAATTTGGACAGAACAACGTCTGTCGGGTCAGCTAGTCTTTAATAAGAGTTAACAGTCAAAAGTGACACCTAAATCCCTAATTTTAGCCATATGTTTACCGAATAGGTATAACTTTACCACAAACAACGAAATAAATCCAAAATTAAGGGTATAATGGCAATGAATTTGTAATTAACGTCTTGACCTACCCTTTTGTATCACCCTGTATATTGTTTACCAAAGGAACTGCTTCATTTCATGATCGGTTCTATAACCGACCATGCGGTGGCCCTTACATGCTATTTACTGGCCCTAAAAATGGAAGCTTGGCTACTAGTCGGCTATGGAATTCCTCACGGATCTACAGCTTACGTTTTCACTCGTGAATACGTGAAAGATACGGAATCGCCAACATACTACATTTACGACGTCTATTATAATGAGAAATATAACATAACAGACCCGTACTGCCCCCTACAGAAAATTTATTGCCTGGCGAACGGAGAAAATGTGAGTTTTTAAATCTATAACCCATCGGTTTGTTTAAAGGGGATATTTTTAGGTGTGGGCAAATACACAGAAAGGTGACAGTGTGCAGTTAACAAGGTTGGACTTGACTAGGAGGTCGGATTGGTTGGCTTTGTTTAACAATAACATCGGGGCACCTACACATTTCGTAAACAACAAAATAATTTACAAAACAAAAGTCAGAACCGAACGCTTGGAAAATCATATTGAAGTGCAGATCAGGAAAAAAATTTCAAAACTCAGACAATTAGACCGAACTATATGGAATCGTAACTTATCGAGTGATTTTAAAAATGTGTTGAGGTCTTTTGAAATAAATTATATGTATAACAAAAATCATTATGAGACGATAAATGAATTATATGAAAAATTCACTTCATATGCGGTAAGTAAAAATTATTTTCAAATTACCAGCAATTATTGTCGTTTACAAATAAAGTAATCGTTATACAAATCAAATAAGTAATAAATACAAATTAGATGCAGTGTCTAAGAAAATTATTTTTAGGTACATAATAACCATTACTTTCTGAAAATCAATAAAATTTCATCCCTTATGTGGCACAGATAAAGGGGGTTTTTTTCAGGTTACTGGTTACATCATAAACTCGTCGTATTTAAATATTTCCACCATTCTCAATAACTTGAGGAAATTGGGTATTTGTGGGCAGGAAAGTAATGAATTTGCCTTAGCAGTGTATATTCATATATATCCTGGACCACTACTATCAGTATGGGTTTTTATTGGAAACATTATTAACAAAATTGATGTTTAAATAGTATTCAATAAAAGCAAAAATGAATTTATGTATTGATTAATAAATTATAACAATTATAGCACCGAGTAATCCTACGTATTTTTTTATTTTAGTAATATAAATGTAGAGGATAAAAGCGAGGTTCCAGAGCAAAAAAAGTAAAAAAATAAAATAAGAATAAAATGTAGTAGCAAATAAAGCAAAAACTGATCTTAACCAAAATGATCAATTACCTAGGTAATTGGAATTTGTATTCTTATTCAGTCCTTAACTATCTTCAATCAGAATTTTCCTGTGTTTAACGAGCTAAATTTTTGAAAAGTTGTTAACATTATTTCACAACAATAATAAACAATACATCTTTACGTAAACAAAAAAAATAAGTAATTGATTTAAAACCACCTTTATACAGTTATGAAGACAAAAGTAATTAATTATATTTGTTTAAAATTTCAAATTATCTGAAATTGTTCCTTACCTTCTATTAAAAACATAAAAAAATATGACATACACCATTTAACTTGACTACACTACACACACAGAGAAAAAGACTACACAATCAAACTCAAACTAGACATTTGCATTTGCAGCAGTTTTAGGCGCCAGAATTGACATAAAAAACTGCCTTCAGAGGGCCTTTCGATTTGGCAAAAATAGTAGCTATTAAGTAGCTAATAGCAACTTAGAGTTACTCTGAACTGATATTAGTTGCTAATAGGTACTCTTTTTATCAAAACGAAAGCCCCCCATGTTGTAGAGTGCAGTGTAGAGTTTATGACTCCAAAGACGTTTCATTTTGAACAGATTTCGAGCATACAGGGTCGGAAAGTACCGATGGTCCATCTGCCGTTACGTGAGAGCGATAAAGTAAGTCATAGAAATCCGTGCAATAGAGAAAGATGGCTATAATGAAGGCGTCTAATAGTCACCGCCCATTTCGCCCTTCCACAAATAAGAAGTGGATCTTATTTGTATACTCTGTATCATTTATCATTTATCTACACTTTAAATACAAAAACTGCACGAGTAGATTAGCTGCCAAAAAATAGAGTTTGCTCTATAAACTATTTTCCTTGGAGACGTGGTATTCGAGATACAGGGTGTTCAAATTTCCAAACAAAATTAAGAATAAGAAGTGGACCTTACCTATATACTCTGCATCATTTATCATTTTATCATTTATCTACACTTTAAATACAAAAACTGCACGAGTAGATTAGCTGCCAAAAAATAGAGTTTGCTCTATAAACTTTTTTCCTTGGAGACGTGGTATTCAAGATACAGGGTGTTCAAATTTCCAAACAAAATTATGCTTCGGTCATATCATCAAATTACGCTGAACAATTTGATTGAAATTTATTACAGCGTATTCACGTAATTAGATCTTTTATTGAATGTAATCTTAACCTCGTGGCATTAATTAGTGGCGTGCTACTGAAGGTATCGCTCCGTTTTCCCAAGAAAAAAATGTATCTCTGTATTCTTTAAACTGTTTCGTCAAGAAAAAATGCTTTAAAACCAAAGTAGAATTTTAAACAAAATTCTGTCAATTTTATATCAATCTAAATAAAATTTGCGTACGCCAATTTGGAAAAAATTTAAACGATACCAGATTTTATTTCTCGCCATGTTTTTGGGACATGTACAAAATTTTAAAGTATATAATTGAAACTGTTGGCTAGAGTCTTATTCATCTCAATTTTTTTCTTTTCGATATGGCATTTTTTTTAAAAATATGGAAAAATTAATTGCGTTTAATAAAACATTTCAACTTACAAGAAAAAATTTATTTATTTTTAAAATTAAAAAACATACTGTTTACAAAGAGCCCTTAAAAATGTACTTTTCCTTAAATTACTCGCCTCCCTTTGGATCTCCTCATTGTTATTCGAGTTTAACTCTAACATACCGATAACTTGAATCGCACATTTACGCCTCTGGAACTCCCCTTTCTTATTATGAGTGTGAATTAAATACTCTAGAATACTCGTATCCCAGAAACAGTGGTAGTATGCGTCCACTGCATCGTTACTTGTTTTCTGATCTGCTAGAATCCTGAAAGCCAACAAGTAATCGGTCTCTTCTAAAAACTGACACAAGACGGCAGCTTGCGTGTAGCAACCTAAACTAGTACAACATTTTATCATTCTCCTAAAGACGTGGTCGTCGTTCCTCACTGGTATGTTGAAGAAGTCGTTAAAAATCAACAAGGACTTTAAATAAAAGCTTAACGATGCTCGGTAATGGCCATTGGCTGAAAACGAAACAGATTATGCAGGATTATCCTTATAGGCCAAGCAAATAAAATTTTTACTCGAAAAAAGTTCTATCCGCGATATTATTGTAAAATTGTCTAAAGGAACATAATACAAGACATCTCTCATCTCGTGAGTCAAAAACTTTTATTAGCTAACTCTTCTATTTAAGAGTGCAAAGTGAGAAAAACAGTTTTTGCACTTTGCAGGGAAAACCATCAATTTTAGCGAAAAGTGACTCACAGACAGCTTGTAGGGAGTAAAATGATCTACTAAATGAGACTTGTTAAATTAAAATCGGTTAATAAACAAACAAGTTATTGCAAGAACACAAGAAAAGTGTCCATTTTTTAATTTGTTTATAACTATCGCATTTATTGTTAAAATTTTATAAAACCTATGACAAGTTGAGGGTTTTGTCATACTTTAAAAGTGTGCCAAAAGTGGGCGCTGTAGGTGCAATAGTTTTCGCACAATTCTATTTGTTTATAGCGGAGGCTCCAAAAGTTATGAACTTTAAGCCTCTGTACAGGCGTTAAT